AGCATTGTGTATTTTAAAAGGTTGATTTCCAATGTTGAGATAAATGATCATCTGTGTGAACAATTACTTTGATTGGGATTTTAATATAACTATGAATGGTAAACTGATACATGATTGCATAAGAATGTTTATACATTTGATGTTTTTAAAATCACCAAAAAATACATGGAGAAAGGAATGCCCCAATGTATTATCCTTGGTTCTTTTAGGGATCAGAAAGGCTTGACTTGATTCCCTTGAGCATCTTGTTTTCCTTAGGTCATTATTTTAATTGCTATAGTAACTAAGAGAAATAAAGTATTAAATTATCATTATTGGGTTAACTTTGTATGCATAAACTTACCAGGTTTGTGACACAAGATACGTGATCAGATGACAATATGTAAAGTTTGTAAGACTGCTTCAACTTCAGGCTAGAATGAGGGTTGAAATAGTTCGTTACACATAAACAATAAGGGTATAATCAATTGTATTTTACTATCAACGAGTTCTTTGCGCAAATATACAGTATATTTTATTATAAACTATTAGGATCAATTAAGTGACCTTTACAAAGATTATTTAGTTTCTTTTGGTAGGGAGAGTTGGTGGGTCCATGCACGTGAAAATCGTGGATTTCATACATGTAATTTTACAACTGAAAAGAATGGTGTGATATTTACATGCTGGAGAAAGGATTAATTACATAGTTAAAGGTGACTAGTATAAATGTTTTCATGATAAGTATTGTCATAAGATAACACGTTCATTTAGAAAGAGAAAATGAACCTTGTATTGAGGCTTTGCTACTTTCCTCCAAGACATTACTTGTGTTACTAAAATAGAGAAAATAAGAATCCCTACCTAACAAGGCAAAATTGAAAATGTTGAAGGCTCGGTTTGATTGAGCCTGTTCATAGACGGTACTGTCAAGTGCAAACCACCGTCCACGTCCCCTAGCACCGGCTTTAGCAGAATTTAACATTTAAACATAAAAATGGTGTATTTTTAATTTAGATACATCAGCAGATGTGTTCATACGGTGAGTATCATGGAACCTTCAATGTGACATGTTAGTGCCATTCCATTAAAATCGGCGTATAGTTTTGACGTCTTATCTGTGATATGCAGGCTTCATAACCTCAGACCTTCCGCACATTGTTTTCTCGTTTAGTGCACATTGGAACCACCCAAGTAAAAAATATGCTGAAAAGTAAAAACTAAAAAATACCACAAACACAGCAATAATGTCGTGCTGAACGATCTTCAATGATCGGAAAGTTAAATATAATAAGTACAATAAGTTAAACACACTGGCCATAGCTTTCGCAGAAGTGGTGGGTCCATCGCAGCGGCGTCGGAGTATAGGGTGCAGAAGCCGTGAATAAAATATGGCCGTTCTCGGTAATTTTACGACTGAATTTTACTTTTAATGTTTTACTGGCAAAACCATATTACATATGTCTTACTTGACATTAAAGAAACGTGTTTATTTGGTATTTGAAATAATACAAAAAGATGCTGGCGTTCTGCTTAGAACTATTTACCTTCCATTGAAAATTTCATTGGTAGACTATTCTACGTAAAAAGACCTTAGTTCCAGGTTCAACAACAAACAAATAAAAGAGATACTCGTGAAGATTAACAAAACATACTTTATTATTGAATATGAAGAACAATCTCAGTTTAAAATGTCACTGTGTTATATTATCATACTGAGGAACACCAATTTATAAGTGTATTATAGTTTGGGGACCTTTCTGTCAGAGTTAAATCGTATACATGCACAGTGCGTGTTTAGATATCCCCACTCCAGAGCAAACCCGTAGAGTGGCTCCTTTTTTTCTGGGGTTTACTTAATGTGACGACAGATAAATGGACAACGATAGAAATGTCTATTCAGATGCTCATTATGATTACTTTTTTTCTTGGGCTTTATATTGCGACAACAATGGACGTGATTTTATTTTGCATGTATATAAAACCTAACATTTTGTTAAAATGAAGCTTAGTGTCAGAATTAAGTTAACAACAGTCTTTTAAGTGTCCGGGTTTTTCCTCAAGATCGCTGTGGGTTCTGATTTATTGAACACGTTTCATAAAATATTACTACTTTATTCAACCAATGACTTCAATGAATTAATTAAGTCATAGAAAATATGAGAACAAAATATTCTGTTTATCACATTTTCAAAATAAGTATACATGTAGTTTACAGTCTAAAAATATAATGTAACGATAACTTTCCATGACGTATTAACGTAGTCAGAATTAAAAATGCTCTAAACTTTGCATGAGAGAAAACCATTCGCCAGACTCGTTTTCAAGTTCACTTTTCTTTTTCAGATAAATTGTAAGGTCTATGTTTCTAATTTTCACCAGCTAACTTCCTCTTTAGTATTTGTAGCCAGTACAGAACCGATTTTTTTTATTTTCTTCTGCTTAAATTGTGACACTCATCGAAAAAAGGGGTTTGAAAATATGTTTGACAACCATTTTTAAATAAACCTATGTAATTTATTTATCTTCGTCCGTATCAATTACAAAGCAATAAAATAACCTACTAATTATAAAACATGTCTAATTATAAATAATATTTTTATTACCCATGGTAAAGTGTTTGTTTGCTACAATTCAATAAGGGAATGCCACATTTTTCATTTAGCTTTTAAGGAATTATAAAACGGAATTATACCATAAGAGTGTGTAAACCATCAAAGATTAGATACTTGTTGCATTTAATGTTAATTAACTTCAATGTTTAAAAATATCTCACGATAAATAGCTACTCGAAATTATTTCCTTGATATTGAAAAATCTAACACATTTAATTAAATGTATCAGGTAAGGAGAGTTAGTTGTTCATGCACGTGAAAATCGAAACATTCGCTCATATAATTTTACCATGGAAAGAAAACAGAAGCCATAATATCAATCAAGCAATATACTATAATAGGGCCGAAACGTCTCGCTGAATAGGGCCGAAACGTCCAGGGGCCGATTTTTCTACTGGGGCCGATTTGGTTTGGGGTCGAAACGTCCTGTTTGCGTGTCCGAAGACTGACGGAAAGGGCCGAAAAGTTGCGACCCCAACATATTTATTTTAACAAAAGAACACTTAGATAAATGTATTGTTGTTTTCTATAATGAAAAGGTCAGAGTTGACCGAGGTTCGGCGAAAAAAACCGGACAATTTTCCCGCTTCACACATTATAGGTCACGTGATCATTTGAGCACAGAAAAGACCAGTTTAGGAGGGAACGTCGCACGGTGAAGAGGGCAAATGGCGTTCTCTGTTGATTTTGCAGGTGTGTTAATATTTTACAACTTTATTGTGATTTTTCAGGTATGTACAGTACTGAAAGAAGAAGAAGAAAAAGAAGAAGAGCCTGTTTAGAAGGGAGAGTCGCATGGCGAAGATGGAAGAAATGGCGAAGATGGAAGAAGAAATGGCGTGCAGGTGTGTTGATATTTTACAACTTTATTGTGTCATTTTATTCTTTTATTAACCTATCCTATGCCTTTGTTATATGCCTGTTTAGTTTTATTTTGATGATTTGTATACATTATTGCTCCTGATAATTTAGACACCTGGCCGTTTTATTACCCTGCGCCCACATGGGTTGCTAGTAATCGTGTTGTTCGACTTCGCGCGAGATAACTTCGGCGTTTTTTGTTTATTTTTTTTTATGTTATTTGACAAACTCTCCCTGCGCATTCTGATTATAAATACATTAGGTATTAAAAGGTATAACAAAAAAAGCTTGTCTCTCAGCCGCAGGTTGGCTGTGGGACCATACTCTCGAGGTTAAAACGTGTAAAAAGGTATGAAAAAATATGGTCTTTCAGCCGCAGTTTGGCTGGGGGTCCGTACTACATGTATAAAAGATATAAAATAATCTGGTCTTTCAGCCGCAGTTTGGCTGGGGGTCCGTACTACATGTATAAAAAGGTATAAAATAATCTGGTCTTTCAGCCACAGGTTGGCTGAGGGTCCGTACTACATGTATAAAAAGGTATAAAATAATCTGGTCTCTTAGCCGCAGTTTGGCTAGGGGTCCGTACTACATTTATAAAAAGGAATTAAAAAAAATCTGGTCTTTCAGCCGCAGTTTGGCTGGTGGTCCGTACTACATGTATAAAAAGGTATAAAATAATCTGGTCTCTTAGCCGCAGGTTGGCTGGGGGTCCTTACTACATGTATAAAAAGGTATAAAAAAAATCTGGTCTTTCAGCCGCAGTTTGGCTGGGGGTCCGTACTACATGTATAAAAAGGTATAAAATAATCGCGTCTCTCAGCCGCAGGTTGGCTGTGGGTCCATTAACTCTCAAGGTTAAAACGTGTAAAAAGGTATAAAAAAAATCTGGTCTTTCAGCCGCAGTTTAGCTGGGGGTCCGTACTACATATATAAAAAGGTATAAAATAATCTGGTCTCTCAGCCGCAGTTTGGCTGGGGGTCCGTACTACATGTATAAAAAGGTATTAAATAATCTGGTCTCTCAGCCGCAGGTTGGCTGTGGGTCCATACTCTCGAGGTTAAAACGTGTTAAAAGGTATAAAAAAATCTGGTCTTTCAGTCGCAGTTTGGCTGGGGGTCCGTACTACATGTATAAAAAGGTATAAAATAATCTGGTCTCTTAGCCGCAGTTTGGCTGGGGGTCCGTACTACATGTATAAAAAGGTATTAAAAAAATCTGGTCTTTCAGCCGCAGTTTGGCTGGGGGTCCGTACTACATGTGTAAAAAGGTATAAAAAAAATCTGGTCTTTCAGCCGCAGTTTGGCTGGGGGTCCATACTACATGTATAAAAGGTAAAAAATAATCTGGTCTTTCAGCCGCAGTTTGGCTGGGGGTCCGTACTACATGTATAAAAAGGTATAAAATAATCTGGTCTATTAGCCGCAGTTTGGCTGGGGGTCCGTACTACATGTATAAAAAGGTATAAAAAAATCTGGTCTTTCAGCCGCAGTTTGGCTGGGGGTCCGTACTATGTATAAAAAGGTATAAAATAATCTGGTCTATTAGCCGCAGTTTGGCTGGGGGTCCGTACTACATGTATAAAAAGGTATAAAAAAAATCTGGTCTTTCAGCCGCAGTTTGGCTGGGGGTCCGTACTATGTATAAAAAGGTATAAAATAATCTGGTCTCTTAGCCGCAGGTTGGCTGGGGGTCCATACTCTCAACGTAAAACATGTGTAAAAAGGTATAAAAAAAATCTGGTCTTTCAGCCGCAGTTTGGCTGGGGGTCCGTACTACATGTATAAAAAGGTATAAAACAATCTGGTCTCTTAGCCGCAGGTTGGCTGGAGGTCCGTACTACATGTATAAAAAGGTATTAAAAAAATCTGGTCTTTCAGCCGCAGTTTGGCTGGGGGTCCGTACTACATGTATAAAAAGGTATAAAATAATCTGGTCTCTTAGCCGCAGGTTGGCGGGGGGTGCGTACTACATGTATAAAAAGGTATAAAATAATCTGGTCTCTCAGCCGCAGGTTGGCTGTGGGTCCATACTCTCGAGGTTAAAACGTGTAAAAAGGTATAAAAAAAATCTGGTCTTACAGCCGCAGTTTGGCTGGGGGGTCCGTACTACATGTATAAAAAGGTATAAAATAATCTGGTCTCTTAGCCGCAGGTTGGCTGGGGGTCCATACTCTCAACGTAAAACATGTGTAAAAAGGTATAAAAAAATCTGGTCTGTCAGCCGCAGATTGACAGGGGTCCGTACTCGCAACATATAAACGTGTAAAAAGGTATAAAAAAATCTGGTCTTTCAGCCGCAGTTTGGCTGGGGGTCCATACTACATGTATTAAAAGGTATAAAATAATCTGGTCTCTTAGCCGCAGGTTGGCTGAGGGTCCTTACTCTCAACATAAAAACATGTGTTAAAAGGTATTAAAAATCTGGTCAAGTTAAGGTGCAAAAGGTGGTAAAAATAAATGTTTAAAGAATTTTTAAAATATAGAGTCTACCAGAATGTAAACAAATGTGTTATAAAAATATGCTTGAAAAATGTGTATATAAAAAAAGGTATAAAATTAACATAAAAAAGTTATAAAAAAAGTTATAATAATACAAATAGTAATAAAAAAAAATTATAAAAGAAATAATAATAAAAACATAAAAATACTAATTATAAAAAAAAAAAACAAATAAGAAAAACAAACAAATCACATACCAACAACATAATTAAGCTTCGTTAACTGAATGGTGGGAGAAGTGTAGCGCGTTATAATAATAATACCGGTAATAATATAAAATAAAAATAAAACGTCCATTCAGTCGCGCGTATAAACCGTTCGACGTATACTATGACTACACTTCTTCCAATGCTGCCTAGTTTTAATAACTAGCATGTCCCAAGCCATGATAAAAGCAGAGGGGAAGAAATGAAGTTAATAGATTTTATAGCGAAATCAACAAAAATTAACTGATCATGGTCTGCACTGTTCACTATTCAGACAGAACATAATTTTGAAACTTTCCGAAAAATAAAGTAATTAAATTGAAAGATGGATACAAGTCCATTTAACATACTAAGCCTGGTTTGGTTTATTTCTTCCAATGCTGCATAGTTTTAATAGCTAGCATGTCCCAAGCCATGATAAAAGCAGAGGGGAAGAAATGAAGTTAATAGATTTTATAGCAAAATCAACAAAAACGTTCTTATCATGATCTGCACTGTTCACTTAATTCAGACAGAACATATTTTGAAATTTTCTGAAAAATAAAGTAATTAAATTGAAAGATGGATTTAAGTCCATTTAATACACTAAACATGGTACTGAGGTTTAACTCTTCCAATGCTGCCTAGTTTAATAACTAGCTTTGTCCCAAGCCATGATAAAAGCAGAGGGGAAGAAAATTTTAATGAAGTTGATAGATTTTATAGTGATAAATTGTCTGATCATTGTTCACAATTCATTTAGTATATATTTTGAAATTTTCCCTAAAATGATAAGATTGAAAGATAGGCAAGTCAGTTTAATATAGCTCAAATTCAGTATCCTTTCATTATCTGTTTACATCAATTACTCATTATTCATCCCTTTCTCATAGTGGTAGAGTGTTGGCTCTCTGATTATAGTTAGAAATTGAATTGACCCTGAATTAAATCCTTTAAAAGGCATTGTTACCTTGACTAGATATTTAAGAAGAATAAATAGAGCTAATTCCTAGTTTTAAAGGGACTCCACTGAGGTTTAAAAGCCTAAAAACATAACAGTTAAATTTCTTACATAATGAGCTGGGGCACTTTAAACAGAAATATATGCAAACATAGTTAAGAAATATACTATATGAAATAAATTGAAAATCGTATTTTAATGATTTTCTTAGCCCAATTTGAGTGAAAAGCGTTTAAACGCTTTTAATTTTGGGTCATTTTTTACAATTTGAATAATTATTCTGGAAAAAACGTAGTGCGCAAATGATCTGAATTTTGCACAAAGATTAGTGGTCTAAACCTACATCAAATGGTACATTTATTTGGAAAAAATATTTTCAGCCCATCATGTCAAAATACCTCAAAGGAGTCCCTTTAACTCACTCGAGTGTTGACGTAACCACTTTTGTTAAAGTTTGCGTACCCTTTCAAATATTTTCAATGTCCATTGAAATATGGCTTTGAAACTTTGCGCACTTGTTCACCATCATGCCCCCCAACCTGTACACAGGAGGAAGTAACTCTACTCTAATGCCCCTTTTAGACTCATATTTACATTTATTATATACCAACTAATATTATTTGCCTTTTGGTGTACCACCTCAAATATTTTCATTTTCCATTGACATCTGGTTTTGAAGAGAGTTGAAATTTTAAACACTTTTTTGAGAGCATAATAGGTCAATCTCAAAGATCTATAACTTTCATATGGATCTGAAAAATTTGTTTGCCCCAATTGAACATAGTCAAAGAGCCTTGATAATGTAAAATTTTCTATCAAGCACTAAAAAAAGTATAGCGTTCTTTATTTCCTTTTAACTTTTTGTTTTTAGATATTTTTCAACTAAGCGGATTTCAGTGTGTTCTTTACACAAGGCTTTTTGAGAACATTAAGTTTAACAAAAGACTGAGTTTAAGTCAAAACAGTCAAGCTCATAACCAAATAAATAGCAATCAAAGAAAAAAAAAAGGAAATATACAAATGAGCAAGGTGGGGATTTTGTTTGTAATGCACTCTGATTGTAACAACAAGAAACACTTTGCATCCAGATAGTTTAATGGTAGAACAGCTGTTACTTTGTAACAGAATGCCTGGGTTCAAATCCCAGTTTGGATTTAATTGTTTTGTTGTTTACAATGTGTAATTATTTCATCAAATGCAATGTTTTAAAAATTATTTTCATAAATTCGATTTTTTGAGAAAAAAAAATGAAAATAGAGGTATTGTTACAGCCATGTTGAAGTTGTCGTTGCCCTCTGCAAACCTTGACCATAACTTTTCTAAGTTGTAGGTGTTTTTGACATTCAAAGTCAATTGTCCAAATTTTGCTCTTTTTTTTGCTATTAGTGGCTATATACATTTGTTATTTTTGAATAAATTGTCTTCAAATTTGAGCATAATAATCTTTAAGGATAGCCCTACAAGTTTCCAAACAGACCTTGAACTTGACTCATGACTGACCTTGAGATTTACCCTTGTCTGTGTGTCCATCCATCCGTCCATCCGTTCTCTTTTGTGTCGCACGTAACTCAAAAAGTATTTGACATAGAGTCATGAAACTTTACAGGAATGTTGATCAGCTGTTGAATTAGTAAAATTTTGCAATTTTCAACTTGTGTTGCATGTTTATCAAAAATAATTTGACATACAGTCATGAAACTGTCATAAAAATGTACAGAAATGTTGATCTGAGCATGTGAAGTTGTGCACCTGGGTATTTTCGAATTGATTTATTTAGTATTTTTAGAGTTATTGGCCTTGACTTAGAAATTTTTTGTAATTTTCAATTTGTGTCGCATGTAACTCAAAAAGGATTTGACACAGAGACATTTAACCTTACAGGAAGGTTGCTCAGCATATGTAGTTGTGCACCTGGGGTTTTGCTTGTGGTTATTTCTCTTGACTTAGTAAAAACCGTTTCATTATGTTGTTATTTGTTCATTGAGTGCTTGAGTTAGAGTCAACCAACTTTAAAGTAATGATCAACATCACTAAATTACAGGAATAATGATCAACTTTGCATGTGAATTTTAGCTCACCAGAGCTGAATGCTCAGGGTGAGCGTTATAAGTATCAAAGGGGGATGCTCCGGCATCCATCGTCTGCCGTCCTGCGTCAACAATCGTCTTCTTCTACTGAAACTATTAAGCTGTTGTACTTCAAATTTGGTCTGTAGTATCCTTGTGACAGTCACACTTGAATTTGCTCATGTCATTCCAAACAAATGTCAAAATGGTTTCCGCTCATTATCTTGAAAATTATTTATCACAAAGTCTACATATTTCACATAGTGATTGGTCATAACCCATCTATTGCAATTTTCTTTCAAATAATACAATTAACAAAATTACCAATAATATGAGTCAAGGGCATATGTGTCTTTTGACATTTCTTGACTTATGAAAGTGTGAATATGAATCATCTGCTTCTTTTAAGGAACAAAATGCTTAATTAAAAACATGTACATGTATTTGGTATCTTAGAACTATCTGCACTATTAAGTCCCTTATTAAGGTATTGTTGTAAATTATTATTTTCAGAACTACCCAAGATATTCATTTGAAATTTAACACATGCCTTGATAGTGAAAATTGTGGCTGACTTACAATCCATAAGTCTGGTATAGATTTTCATGTAATACAGTCATGTTATAATTCCCATTTGTGGATTATGAGATTTCCTAAACAAAATTCTTGTTAAATTATAAAAGTGTGTACTGTTTGTTAATTGCCAAACCAGAATTATATTGTATACATATATGTATTTTGTTAGATTGAAATGTGCTCTGTTTTTAAGAAATAAGACATTTTTTTTATAAGTAAACCAAATTTGAGCCACGTCACGACAAAACCAATATAATGGGTTTGCGACCAGTCTGATTAGGATCCATGATGTTCGCTTACAGACCCTATAACAAGTCAAGAAACTGATATCGAACAGCATGGATCCTGATCAGACTACACGGATGCGCAGGCTGGTCTGGATCCATGCTGGTCGCAAACCCATTATGTTGGTTTTGCCGTAACACGGCTCATTTGTTTTAAATTTATCCATAGCATTGCATAGGAAATGCTTGTAATTCTAGTGGTTTGTTACAAATTTATTAACAATGAAACATGCAGTTAACTGAGTCATATGAGCCGCGCCATGACAAAACCAACTAATGCATTTGCGACCAGCATGGATCCAGACCAGCCTGCGCAGTCTGATCAGGATCCATGCTGTTTGCTTACAAACCCTATAACAAGTAGAGACTGATAGCAAACAGAATGGATCCTGATTAGACTGAGTGTATGCGAAGGCTGGTCTGGATGCATGCTTGTTGCAAACACATTACGTTGGTTTTGTCATGGTGCGACTCATTATGTGTTTTGATGTTCTTTCTGTTTTGTATGTCATTCGCGCATAATTACTAGTATATCAAATTCCCTCAATGCATGTAGAAGTTTTGCTCCAAACAATAATCTTACTTTGATCTCTTTTTGTGATCGTTCACCTAAAAACCAGGTTCAGGCGATAGCTGGTTGAAACTTAAGGGTGAATAATTAAATCTCTTGATAACCAGCTTAGTATATTTGGGCTATTGCCCTTTGACCTTTGTATAAGTTTTTTTCCTGATTGTTAGGATTTGTGAGTCTTCTTGTTCAAAAATATAATTTATAAGAAGACTTACATAGTCATTTGTAGAAAATATAGAAAATCATTAATGCATTCAAAGTTGGCTTAGGGCATTTTATTACAATTTATCATCACATAACAATTTTTTTTGTATCTATTTTGTAAACAATGTAAAACAAAATTGCAATAAACAAACACTCCATGAACAGACATTACATGTCAAACAATGCCTATGTTATTACAGACTATGTTTTGCAGTATAAATGGTTTCAAGGTTATATTTCCAAAGCTGCTTTAGGAGTGTTATATAGCTAACTGCCATTTTGTGTCTCAAAAGTCTTTATTATAATAACAAATTTGTAATGTTGCACATTTGCTTTGATTTTGATTAAGATATCAATTAATTCACAGATTTGCTATTTATATATACATATAAAATTAATAATATATCCTGAAAGCCCAATGAAGATTAACTTAAAAAGATGGGGAAAAAAAGATTCTCTTTAATGTACATGTATTGTCTATTGAACAATTAGCAATTCTCCATACAAATGAATTGTTGAAGGGCCTTAGGAACTGGGAGCTGTGAAACATCGCACGGCTTAAAATAAATCTGCCCTCGCAATGTTTGTCTGATGACTGAACAACATTGTCCCTTTAAACTGGTAACTGGATCATTATCATATAAAGCTGTAAATATACATTTCCTACATTCACACTCCCTACCGCAGGCCACGACTGAAGTCTGTGGATGAATGACAAGACCGTATTTCAATAAAACACGTATCGTAGCTTTAGCTCGTAATTTATGATTTCTCTTCTGTTCCGGAACTGACTCTGGAGAACACACACTTAACAACAATATCAGAAATTTGTTATCTGTAGAGCATTTAGTCGCCATCTTGTACGACCTTACAACACAATTACTTAATCGTTCCCAAACGTCGTCTTCTTCTTGTTTTAAAATGAGCCCAAGAGCTTTTAATTGAAATGGGTTGTCATACTTTCTAAGTATCATCTCTGCAACATCAGGCTTTTTATATAAACATGCTATTAAGAGATGATAATATAAGCCATTTAAAGTTAAAAATAACCATTTTTTACGCGAGTTCTCCAAGTATATAGAAAAGTTTTCCACAGAAATCCGTAACGTTTTCCAGGAACTCCGTGACAGTTATCATAAGAACTCCAAACAAGTTATCATAAGAACTCCATCTTTCGTGTAACACTTCCTCCCCCGTGAGTAAGAAAACCACTCAAAATATGGATTGATTAAAGGTATATGGCATCTACAAAAATACTTTGCTTAAAATAGTAAAACAATAATTATAGAGACCCTTAGCGATATTATATATCCGCAAATTCCAAATACATTGTACTTGTTGTTTAATGTTAAACAAACAGGATATGTAGTTACCACTCCCGACAAATATTTAAATCTCAAATTTTCTAGTCCAATTCTGCATTTGGTTATTTCCTTTACAGTATCTTATTCAAATCAGATTACTACTGTCAAGTTACAAGGGCAATCGGCGATGACCTGTATCGCCTCATGATAGCCAATCACATGTAGCAGGAGACACAAAAATCATTAACCTGGCAAAACACTTTTTTTATTCAACTCTGCTGAAAATCATTCATAAGAGGAGTAGTCCGGACAAACTTTAAAAAATAAAAAAAATAATTAAAGGGCCATAACTCTAACAAAATACCTTGAACCGTAAAAAGGCAATGATATACACATCTAGACTTGGTACTGATCATTCCTGTAATGTTTGGATGAAATTGCACCAGTAGTTTTTGAGAAGTAGCTCTTGTGTATCTGGCAACACACAAGAAAAAACACCTTTTTCATTAAAGGGCCATAACTCTGCAAAAATCAATCAACGTGAAAACCCGAGCAATATGAGCAAAGACTTGACCTACAGATCAATCCTGTAAAGTTTCATTGAAATTGCATCAGTGGTATAAGAGGAGTAGTCCGGACAAACTTTAATAATAAAAATTATTGAAGGGCCATAACTCAGAAAAAATCATTGAACTGGAATGCTGACAATATGCTCAACTAGACTTGGTACTGACAATTCCTGTAAAGTTTGGATGAAATTGTACCAGTAGTTTATGAGGAGTAGTTCGGACAAGTTTTGTGATGGACGGACAGACAGACGAAGGAGAAGTGATCCCTATATGTGGCCACTACTCTGTAGAGGCGACACAAAAGGACAGACAGACGACGGAGAAGTGATCCCTATATGTCGCCACTTTGTAGTGGCGACACAAAAAGCTATTTGTCCAATGCTACGGAATATTAGATTACAAACTACAGAAACTTTCAGCTGTATACATAGTAATTTTATGTCATGGGTTTAATAGCAGTGTCTGTGATTGTAGTATATATACATCCAGGGTACTTTTATAAAGGGATTTTATGCACCTAGAGTACCATGTTACAGTTTACCTTGTCATGCTGCATACATGTACAAAATTACTTTCTGATGCACAACTGTTTGAAGTGTTTCCAATAGCAGGCTTTATTCCATCTATCAAAAGCCAGAATTCCAGACTTTAAATGCCATTTGGCAGTTCAATAATCTTAGTCCCATGAATAAATTGCTAGTTCCTTTTTCAACGGTGGACAATACCATTGCAAAATAATAATTATGATTAAATATTAATGCCAAGTAAAACAAACAAAATTGTAAATTACTTCTATTTATTGTTACCGACCAAGGTGTCAATGTTGTCTACAAAACAATTATTTACACAAAAGTGTCCATACACCTATCACTATACATTAACAAAAATAGTATATAAAATTTGTGTCTATTAAAAACATGACCAAAAAGAAAATGTATCAAAAAATACCAGTAAGCTGAAATAAGAGTACATGTTCATTGTATGTAAATATGGTTTGATTAAAAAAAACAAGTAATGGCCCTTGGTATAAGATAATTCATGCAGTACTTGTATGATATCAGGTACATTTCTATTTTTTCGAAAATCTTTAAATTCAAGCACCTGTGTATTGATTTAAAATTCACTGCTTAGCTATAACAGAAGCAGTTCATTCAAGAGAAAATACATGGTTATAAGTTAATCAAAATACGCTTAAAACGTAAAAATAAATCAAGGGAGATGGTGTTAGCTGAGAAACATCAGGTCAATAGTTCTTATGTTACTAATATCAGGCATGGAATTGAAATATTAACTTACAAACAGTAAAAAAAACCAAAAAAAAAATCAAGGATTTTAAATTATTAGTTTGAATTGATAATCTGCACAACCATATTTTATACATGAATAAAACTAGACATTGTATAATGTAGAAAAAAAAAAACCATAAAAAAACAATAAAAACATTTGAACTACATGTAGATATAAATGCATCGAGGTAGACTACTAAATCTAATGTCATTCTAATAAATAAGTACAGTAAACTCTACTTATAACAATATACCGTTTATAACAATACTGTTGCCACGGTCCCATTTTCAAATTGGTTGCCTCTCAGATATAACCATATTGAGATAAAATGATATAAATTCGGCAATCACCTGAATATTGTTATAAGTGGAGTTTAAATATACAAGTCACTTTCTATTTCATATTTAAAGCAAACACACCTGCACACCTGTGTAAAGTTTATAGGTTGACAGAAACAGATGTCTGAGGAGTAGCATGCTCCATTTTTCTCGGCCCTTGTATGGAAAAAGAAAAAGTTTAAAAAATGGAGCATATTTCTGCAAAACTGTACTTCTAAATCAACTGCCCCCGAAAAGTAAAAACATGGTGATTTTTAGAGTAAATTTTTTTCATATTTTTCATGCAACTTGTATATTCAGACATTCATTTTAAATATTTCTACATTCATTTACAGTCTAAGGTAAGCGATTAAGGGGTGGTTCAGATGTCTGGTCACAATCTTGCCTCCTCATATGGCACCAGTACTGCTTAGTTCCACTAAGCGGACTTGAAAGTCATAATATCAGTATGATAGTAATATAAGTTGAAAGAAATTGTTCTGCAATCGAACTAAAATAAACAAATTTAAACTAAAACAAGTAAGGATATAAACAATGTCTATAATCGACCGTCAGACTGAATGAGACAGTTATATTTTTCTTTCTTAGGTTATATTTTCATAATCTGGAGGCATGCCACTTTATTATGTAAATAAACATTCAGTCCATAAATAAATACTTTGTTTAATAAGTGTATCAAACAAAGTCTTCGAAAACCACATATGAAGCTACATTTTGATATCACAGACATAAATCAAAAATAATTTAATGGTACAATTATCATTTTGGTGAATGTGTAAACTTTGAATACATAAAACAATAGTCATAAGGAATGTGAACATTTTATATAAAATAAAAAAGTAAAACAGAATTAACATGGAATATGTATAGATCCAATATATGAGAAATATGCCCAAAATTAATTATCATACAAATTTATGCTGTCTTGAGCATTTTGATAAACTCATATTTTGATATAATTTGGTAATAAATTAAGAAATCTGGCTTGTATACATATTATATAAAACACAATTTGAATAAACATAATAAATGTATGAGCATTGATTAAAATCTGGACTGAGCATTGACAAACCCTTAACCTGCCATATTTCTATAATGGACCAGTCCAGTTTTGAATTTGAAACAGTCCATTCAAAGTTCAAGGGATTTCAATATCAAAATACAAACATTAAGCTACCAACAGTATAGAGCCTGGTCAGACTGCACGGATGTGCAGGCTGGCCTGGCTCTACACTGGTGGCAAAGGTTGATGGTTCCAGCAGGTTAAGGGTTAAAATCTTGAAATAGACGTAAAATACTCATATGCAATAAGAAAGGTACGAACATTTTCCACAAGGCCTTTAAAATCTGTTGCTGAGATTTAACAAAAAATTATTTAAAAATATTTCTATAAATAAACAATGGACGGACTAACAAGATGATATAATATCACATGGTCAAGTGAAAGTAAACATTAAAAGGGTAAAATGGACATATATCACTGGTTAGTTGATATCTTACATATCATTCTTGAATACAAACATATATGTAAATATATATAGATTAAAATCATCTGTACTTGCATACATACACTGGGAAAAATGAAATTATGGAGAAAAATTATCGATATCCTAATCTCACTCCTGAAATTAGAAGTTCAAGAGATTTTAACAATGAAATACAAAAAAGTTTAGTTACCAGCAGTATAGAGCCTGATCAGACTTCCCCAGATGTGCAGACTGACCTGGCTCTATATTGGTTAGGTAGCAAAGGATGCTAACTTTCAGTTCCAACAGGTTTAGGAATAATGTTGTATTCCATCAATAAAGATAAGAGTGGCAAAAATACACTCAGGATATAAACCTCTATATTCAAATAAAACAGCGTTAAACTGAGGCTATCACACCCACCACCTAAACTTCATAGTGAGTAAATACAGATCTACTAAACAATTTGTTAGAGCTCACTGCAATACTGGCATAACTCTATAGAAGTATGTGGCGGCATGGCCGAGTGGTTAACGCTTCGGACTAGTAATCTTATGATCGCTACCCGCATGGGTTCAAACCCTGACAGGGGCAAGTCGTTGTTTCCTTGAGCAAGAAACTTTACACTCATTGCTCAGTACTGGTTGGTTCCAGGAACTGATTCGAAAGTGTGTTTATAAGCTAATAGCTTCCTACACAATCGAACTAAAATAAATTCTGTATAAACCAACTCTATAAAAAATAAATATACATGTACTGTGACTCATGAGGTACGTCATTACTACATGAAACAAAATTTCTTCATATTTACAACAAATTCAAGACTTACTAACACACACATATATATATATATCTGTATTTCAAAACTTTACAAAATTGGCACTTAATATATCATTTAATGCACAGGTGAAATATCTACAAATCATGCAATATATTTTAAATAAAATAAAACAATTATTAGAATTATGTAATATCTATAAAACTATCTCAGTATCTTTTAAATAATTGCAGTATTGAATAAAAAATGTGTGCATAAATTTCTATAAAATAAATCAAAATAAATAATTTGATAACTTTTACATACTGTTAAAAGCAACTTCAAATACCAGTGCACTCACTGCTATACATTACATGTTGTTCATAGAGAACTTGTTACATGTACAGCAATATAAATACAGCTGTAAAAATGCTCTGGGTCTGAGGAAATTCTGTAAGTTCAACTCAGATGTCAGGAATTTGATTGGTCAGAAACTGCCATAGAATGTATATGAAAATACAGAATTCTCGAAAAAATATATATACATGTACATGTATATCCTCGAGGCCTGGTTTCCCACAACTGTATTTAATTAAGTTCATTTGGTGCATTTCATAACATTACAGTGCATTATCACGTAATTAGGTAAGTTAGATCCTCCTTTTAATCCTTGGCATTTAATTCATAAATACATCATTTAAATACAGTACAACCTGTATTAAAGGACCACTTTTGAACGAAGACAAAAATGGATAAATTGGGATAAATTGGTCTATTTACATATTGATAATATATTTCTCAATTTCTGCTAAAAATTGTTTCTTGTAAAGTAGAACATTAACCAACAATACTTTAATTCAACTTTTGGATCATGTCAAATATATCTTGTGCAGTATGTAAATAAAAGCCTACAGCTAGTAAAATAATCCTGCTAGATATATGCACTTCATCACAGCTTTTAGCTATTGAACTGTTCCCAAAAATATACTTAAGAACATTTACTATCTTAATACTTGAGTATAAAATACAATCTTTGTATCACAGTCTAAGAATAGTAAATTTTTTCTTAGTTCAAGTTTTCTAAAAATATTATGTATATAGTGAGCAACATGTCCACTGTTTGTTAACTCTGCTGAAGACTAATGTTTCCTAATAAAATTCATTCACTCAAAGTAGCAAACGATTGTCCATAAAGAATAATAGACATCTCTATTTTGTCAATAATAAGCAGTGATAAAGAAATGGTTAAAAGTGTATAATACACTGGATTTTACAGCAAAAATCATTCCTCTATATTGTAATTGGTTGACTTCGCTATATTTTTATTGGTTGACTTCGCTGATTTCAAGAGTACCTTGACGAACTCGTTGTTGTGACAATATCTGTTGCATCATGGCCATCATCTGGTCAGTCTTCATGGCTGCCTGGGCTACCTGGTCGCCTAGGTCACTCATTTGGGCTTGCATTAACTCTACTCTTGCATTCATGTTTGAAGATTTCCTAAAAAATGGAAAATGAGAAATTTGAAACTTTATTCTTAAACATGAAATTTTTATTTTCAATTGGCAACAATTATCATAACTTACTAAAATGAAAATTTCCATTTTTAAATTGATTCCCAACATTGTTTATGCATTTCATAGCAAACATTTCCAGTTTTATTTGGTAACTTAACATTGAAATTTGTTAATAAATTTGCAAAATGTGACAAAAAATTGACAATCTGGGTATAACTTATTAATTTCTTGATTAAAGAAAAATACCTATTCAAAATCCATAATGATGAATTTCTTAAATGACACACACATATTGATATGGAAGGGTCCTGATGCCAATTTATAATGTTCTATAAAAAAATCCTACGTAAGAGTAATTAACTCCTAATTAGACATTTTTATCTCCTTTTGTATAGAACATTATAGATTGGCACCAGGACGCTTCCATACATTTAAGATTCACAGATATTTTGTTAAAAAAAAACTGACATTCTATTAAGACCACAGTGACAATCTGAGGAAAAACAAGAATTCAATCCTAACACAGGCATCTGAATAATAATCATTTCAGTTATAATTCGGCACCTAGATAAAATATCACCATAGAGTTTCCTCAGTATACAACCATTAGCCCTTTTTCATGGTTTATAACTGTTAACAGTAAGGCAATATATACCTTGATGATAATGGAACAATAGTGTCCGAGGTGTCCATCAACATCGGTTCTGCCGTGCCCGGTCTACTCTCGTCCATTATCGGTGTGACTCGAGACAACCGCACTTGTTCCTTGATGCTATCTAATTCCTCTATTACACGCTCAATCCTAAAAAGATATTCATAAATCATTTCAAAGCAACCATATTGAAAATAACACATATAAAAGCAAAATATAATACTGTATGTTTGAAACATCAATTTTCATCAGATAACTGTGATGTTAATATAATCTTTATACACACAGCTGCAGCAAGTTTACTACGTATCTTTCATTATCCTTGAAAAAGTGATTTGTACTGTATTATATATCCGTTATAAAGATTTTTTTGACAAATTATATGTAAAGGGAGATGGGGAGGTCTAAAGCAAATCTCACATAGTTTATATTTGTTCACCATCAAAACATGAGTGAGACTAAAAAATGTTGAAGCACTAAAAACTGTATTACGGTATATACCGGTCAAGGGACTTGGATGATTAAATGTTAAAACCTTGCCTTTTCACCTGCCGAAATGCACTGTAAGAAGTCCATTTCTTCACGCCTATATATATATCAATACGATCGTGAATGAAAAATGTAAGAATCAGCTGAAAAAAAAGCAATATTTATCAAAATTCAAATCATAATTTTTACAAGAGTCTATAGGTACATCTCCAACACTGTAGTGAGTTAACTCCTTAAAACATACCTATTTGCTGTGTCTGCTACTTTATTACCAAGTTCTTCTTTCTCTGCCTTTTGTGAGATGTTGAGATAATTCTCTGTTGCTGATCTCACAAATAATGTCAGCCGATTGTTATCTTTAGCATCCAGGTTCAATTCTAAAATGATGGATCAATATTTGTTTCAATTAACAATGGGAACAGCATGTTTTTATGTCTATCTTAAAACAAACATGATTGCATTTTGATGAAATCTCCGGCATGGGTAAAACTCACGGAAATGCCAGTCTGATATGCAAGAATACATACAAAATATCAAACCTCTAAGCCTTGTACCTTCAGACAAGAAGGAATTTTAAGTTTTTACTATATGTACACATAGGGAAAATCAATGACCCCCGGGGCTGGGGCCGATTTTGACCCAAGGGCTATAATTTGAACAATCTTGGTAGAGGTCTACCAAACAATGCCCTATGCAAAATATCTAAGCTCTAGGCCTTTTGGGTCTTTACAAGAAGAATTTTTAAATTTATTCTTATAATTCCTTTTGGTTGCTATGGCAACCAGATTTCTGCATGGAATGAAATTCTTTGAACAACTTTGGAAGCCCTTCACCCAAGGATCAATCCTGCCAAGTTTGGTTGAAATTGGACTAGTGATTTTTCACAAGGAAATTTTTTAAGTTCACTATATAACTATAGAACACACATACAAACACACACACACACACAGGTGAATCGCTACATGTATATGCCTACACATCGCAGATGCTGCAGTGGCATAAAAATGATTAAATATTTAATTGTCATTATGTCAAGTACACATAAACTGCCATTTTTATAAAAGTTTCAACTTGCACTGCATTCAGGGCTACAAATTGTTAAAGAAATGATAAGATTATTATATCACCATTAGAAGCATAACTAAGGCACAATTTCACAATTATTTACTTACTGAATTCATTCATGTATTTCTTGGATGAGCATGTTCTCCGCCTGATCCACAGTATACTTCTGTATACATGACTAATTACAATCAATGGTGGACAGAACTTTGGTCGGTCATAAAACTCGTATACCAAACTGTAACGGTAAAACCTCCACACCTGCTCAGACTTGTCCTGTACCATTTGGAAGGTGTAACTGTAACAGATAATGTTTTTTAATAGATAGTTACTGGACTGACATATTTGGTTAATTGTTTTTTTATGATTTACATCAATCATCCTTAAATTATTCTTTTACAAAAACCAATTTATCAGTATCTGATTTAATTGGTCAGTAAAAGTCTAAAGAGAGAAAATTGTTCTTTACAATACCTTTAAATATCAATCCATGGGCAATAAGTAGATGATATACAACAGCCATTTATAAGCATGAAAACACTTGTAATTATCAGAGATTCTTAAAATCTAGATAATAATTGATATAACAACCATGGATCAAACCCACTTCCTATGCCCCCCCCTCCCCCCAGCCGGAACCTCAAATTTTAATCCCCGATACCAGGCCATAGTGGCATGCTTTCATGAAAATATAAACAATTTATCAGGTCATTTCAAACTTATTTTTTCTCTGAATAGGAATGACTTATTTTTACAGTACTAGAAAATCCATAAAACTAAGCACTGATAATACAATTAAATCTACAATATGTCTTCCTTTACCTGAACATAGCAATAAGAAGGTTCACAAGTAGAATGTTTGTTAATATAAGATACACAGCACCAAGGAGAGGAACCAGTGCGTTTTCTTCAGGACATCTATCTACACCACCAGCCGGGCGCCAAATACTCTCATTTGTTGTACAACTACTGGGATGCTCTCCTGAAATATTTATATTAAAGATTTATAAATATCCTGATTATTTCACTTTTGATGTTTCATAAAAATCACCTTAACTTTTAAATTTCCTTACATATCATTTAAACCGACAAATTGGTCATTTTCTTCTGAAAATATTTAAATTTTTCTATGAAATGTCTTTCACATAAAATCTGTATATATGTGAATAACTATCATAGTTTCTGTGAAAATGGACATAAAAGTGAATTTGTCTATAATGGAAGGTCTGTAATACAACAAATAATTTTGTTGATGGTAAATGTGCCTATTGTAGACCAATCCACTTATAACAAGAGCACCGCTAGGCAGAGCATTATATGCCCGAAAGTGATTTTTTTTAAAGTAAAGATGAAGCATTTGTAAGACATGGGAATTAAATAAAGTATTACCTCCTTCAAATAACAATCCTCCTTTGAAGTTTGAATATTGTGGTTCAAATGGAACTTAAGTTATGCCCCGTAAACTGTTTTCAGTTTTAAGGTAATAGTGACCTTAAGCTTTGACCTTGTAACCCAAAAATCAATATGGGTCTTCCACCCAATATGGACAATCATACTATGAAGTTTAAACACAGTGGGCCAAATGAAACTTAAGTTATGTTCTGGAAAATGTTTTCAGTTTTAAGGTAATAGTGACCTTGACCTTTGACCTTGTGACCCCAAAATCAATAAACGTCTTCTACCCAATATGGACAATCATCCTATGAAGTTTGAATATTGTGGGCCAAATGGAACTTAAGTTATGCTCAAGAAACTGTTTTCAATTTTTAAGTAATAGTGACCTTTGACCTTGTGACCCCAAAATCAATAGGGGTCTTCTACCCAATATGGACAATCATCCTATGAAGTTTGAATACTGTGGGCCAAATGGAACTTAAGTTATGCTCTGGAAACCAAATTGCTAACGATCCGACGGACGCCAGGGGGTATAACATAATGTGCCCGAAATTCTTTCCGGTATATAATAAAAGATTAAACCCTAATGCCTATGCAAACGCCAACAAGATGGTCATGTGGCAAAACATTTTTTTCTGAAATAAAGTATCCTGGAAAATTTTATTTGCTCCGTATAAAATCTCTATTTCAGAGAGGATCTAGTCTAGATAGATTTTTTTCAGTCAGTAAAACTTCATATTGCCCTTTTGGCTATGCTAAAACTACTTAGAATGGTAATAAATCAAAATCAATGTAGGAGTCAACTTTTTTTATAGTAACAATATGATACCTTCTAGATTTTCGAGGAAGAGTTCACCATACATCTGCCAATATGGAATATATAATACACTCTTGAGAAGGTACCAGCTGGCAGGGGAGTTTGGAAACAAGTTTGCTTGGTACATTATACCAAAACTGAGCAGGAAAAACAGGAAAATGCCCAGGAAAAACATCAAATCTATCACCTGAAATAAACAAAATATACTTAATTTAAGAAATGTTTACTTAAATTCAATCTAATCACTTCTCAAGCTAACCTTTGAATAACCATATAAAGAAATCTGTCACAAAACTAGAAAATTGTCCACAAATAACAGGTGCCCCTAATTTCCAAACATACGAGAGGATATACAAACATCCAGCTCGCATAGCTCAATCGGTTAGAGCGCGAAACTTGAAATCACGATATTGTGGAGTCGATTCCCAGGCTGGCCAACTAAAATTACTGATCAGTCTTTCGAATGAGACATAAAATCGAGGTCCCTTGTGTGGATGCTTTACTAGGCACGCTAAAAAACCAGGAGGAGCTTTTGGAATTGGGACATCTTTCTATACATGTATAAACTGCGCTATCCTCCAAAAAATAAAATGACTAATACTATTCTGAAGGACTCCCCCATAAGGGCAACCGTCGGCGAGTATGAATAAACGCAAATACACACACACACAAACCTCCACTTTTATTGTTCGATCTGAACTACTGAAGTATATTATCAGCTATTTAAGGAAACTTTTTTAAATTTACAATACCAAATTATTTTAGAATGCTTTGACTCTATAAAGTCTAGTTGGAATTGGACATCATGATCATAACTTGTAATAACACTTACTCTAGTCATCAGTCTAGAACTTGTATCTGATTGACTCTGATTTACAAATTCAAATCTGACCAATGGTAGAGTACTATTTTTAGACTGGTCTTATAATTGTAGATGCAGTATACATCAGAATCTATAACTCTTTTTTCTGCAAATTGATTTCTGAGAATGTTTCCTTAGTGATAAGAGAAACTAAAACTATATCTCAGCAATAATAGATAAAGCAGTTGCTATAGTTACCATATTTGTGATCATGATAACTTTTGGTCCAATGTTCTTCTCAACAAAGAATACTTGCATAAACCTCAAATAATACATGGCAACAGTAATACTGAAAAACAAGGGAAAATACTAGTACATTTTCATAAACATTAAATTGTATTTACAAAATACTTTGTATATGAAAAATTACATATGTAATTTAAAATTTCAACTAAAAGTTCATTTCTATTCTTACGTGACCAATTTAAAGACTATTAATTAACAGTTATCGATATCGTATTACTGTCAGCTGCTTTATCTATAGCAGTTATATTGAAAGTGATTAAAAATTCAAATCAGTATACATACACAGTAAGAGCTACAGAGAGGGTTTTATCAACTTTTACCTGCTAGAAAAGAAAGTGAACAGCCTTTTTAATAAGTATAGGGCTATACCAGCCAACACATCAGTAAAGTCTAACCAGGATCTATACTGCTGGAAAACCAATTTCAAATTTTCATTCATATTATTAATGGAAAGTTCCAAAAATGGAAACTGAACAAGTTCATTTAAGAAATATAGCAGGTTACTTTGTGTGCAATACAATAAAATATCTTACTGAATCCCTAAAATATCTCTGTAGGAAATGACAATGAAGTACATACCTGTAAAAAATCCTGGCATATGTAAATTTATCATTGGGTAATGTAAATCGTAATATCACAGATAACAAGAATATCATGTACATAGCCAGATCAAACCGGTTCCACATCGAGCCAAACCAGCCACGTATCTTGTACCACAGTGACCGCTTGTCATTTGACAAAACCTGAAGCAACAAACAAAATAATGTATGAAAACAAAACAAATGTGATCTTAATGCTCTACCAAATTTAAACATTAGCAAGCTTTCCATCTTTGAATACTGGACTAATTTTGCCATAAATTAAGAACTGTGTGTTGTTCATGTTGATATTTGTCTCTCACAGTTGATTCAAAAATCATGTGGTATTAGTAGTTGGTCACTTGCGGAGAAATTGGTAATAACTGGTTCGTAATCAAGGAAAAGCAGTTAGGCTGACCGACTGCTGAGATATGACATAAACAGTTCCATAATTCCAAGCTCCATTTAAGAAATTCAGCAGGTTAAAAGCATGCAATGTAAGGATATTGAGTTGCCAATATTACAAATTCTAAGCAAATTTAACAACTGGGCTGTCCCTTGTTAATGACATAAGCTTGCCTAGTTTGTCTCTTCACTCAGAGCTTACTCACAAATTAATTAGATATAACCATACCTGTCTAATTTCTTCTAGCAGCATGGTAATGGTCCATCCCCACACTACATACTCTACCATTGAGCCTTGGTCTGGGTACAGGTTAGTGAGTACAAAGTATGTAAACAAAGCCAGGAAAACAAGGTATGATATCTGTAAACATCAATAACATTATAAAATAAAATCAAGACAAAGCATCTCAGCACTGAAATAACTGAATTATCTCTACAGGTTTTGTCTCGGTCTCAAGAACTAATTTTACAGAACGACTTGCAAAAATATGAAATTGTGTACATTTTAAAATTGATACAAATGTTTTCAAAACAATATATGGGCTAAACAATTAATCTTGTATATCTTAAATGACAACAATTTAAGAATAGCAGGAACTTAAACCTTTGAAATGTCTAACCCCAGTTAAAGGCTTATCCTTTCAGGGACTGCCAGATGATAAAATTCCCAATAAACGCCACTCAACTGCCAGTTGGACCGTATTTTAGGACGCAAATACATGTTTTGTAACCCATTTTTTTTTCTTTTTGCTTAAATGTTTGTTATCATACTCCAAAATCATGTTAAGTTTACATGCATTCTATTATACAGTTCTCATTCTGCTTTATGTCTTTACGTTACACTAGCATACACATTGCAGTGCTTGGCTGATTTCTCCCTTAACTCCTACCTAGTTGGTATGGCATTTGTCTGCCTTTCAAACTGATATCATTGGTCTGAACAATAGAATGACAAAACTATTTATTCTCATCTACCAACATTAATTTTGCCCAAAGTAGCTTTACTCATAATTCTCTATAGTGAATTCAATAAACTGAAAGTTAGCTAAATAACATCATTAAATAACTTCAAAAATGTATCTAAATTTCTTACTGTATTAACAATAAACACAGATACAGGTGCCGTGTAGAAAAAGTAGAAGGCATCCAGTAGTCCTATACTGTTTGTCCGTGTGTCTGTAAACATCTGAACTCGGTACAACTTCTTTCTCTTCTTATTTGCTCTCCGAGACTTTGAGCGGACAAATAATTCCTCTTCAGGTCCCTCTCTTGAGACAGTGTTAGGCATCACCTGGTCAAATATAGAATTACAAACTATCCTGGATGTATTTTATTGTGAGAATTCCGCAAAAATATGGTGTGTGTAAATCCTTCAAGCTCTAAATGCTTACAATACATCACTGTCAATAACAACATCATGTTCTATACATTTTTTGGAAATGAAAAGAAAAAGCCATAAAATTTCCAAATATGCTGTAAGTTGGTCAGCCAAAGAAAGTTTTAACTGTAAAAGCCTGTCATTGATGTAATTGCTTAGTTTCTCAAAATAAATTGTAACCATGACGCAAATTTTATTTCAGCTGCACTTTCAAACATAGCGAAAACACGACAGGATAAGGGTATTTAAAACATGGAGTGAAATTTTCAGTAAAAGGGAGGTGAGGCACAAGGACTGGTTTGGGTTTGCTTAAAAGCAATTTTATTTCAATTTCAGTCATTTCTATTCTTAAAATAAAGCTTCCAATATGTTTCACATCTTGATAGTTTTTTTTTGTATTAAATTTATTGGTATGTGATAACAAAAATGATACTGTATGTGAGATTGCATGCAGTTGTCTGTGAGATCAAATTATATGTGAGATTAAATAAAATGACAATCTTTTGTGTTATACTGCAGTTTTTCTTTTAATAGACATAAAAGGAAGCATTTACAAGAAATCCCTTGTACATTTACAGAAATTTTAAGTAGTTTACAGGGGATATGTTTCAAATGTTTCCTTTTTACTCTTTTTACTGAGTTTATACAAGTCTTTTTATCTTCAGTTTTTCCTTCTTAATGTCTTATTTGTTCTAAACAAGTTTTATTTAGTACTACAATGTATCTGTAATAGTGTTAGGTAATAAAACAATCATTAGTGACACAGTTACCTGATTGAAGGGTATAGGTATACGAGGTCTAAAAACATTCTTGTTTAACTAGTGACACATGCAAACATATATTTTTCATCAGCAAATACAAATTTCCAAAAGCTATGTCAATCTCTGGCATTTAAATTAAAATCAACTTTTTTTCTATTTTGCAAAATTTAGAGATGACATAGCTCTGGTATTGATGGGACATGGGAGGTAACTCATGTCTACCTGTCCTACTGAACATAATCCAACTTTGCCCTGAAATAAAATGTTCATCATTTAAATGCTGTTTTATCTTGTTTCTATTTTTGCCTTTTTTATTTCCAAAACTAAAAAGTTTGAGTCTGACTTTACAAAATATTATCACAAGGGGTAAATGCTGTAAAGTGGGTAGGCGTACCTTATAATAACTTTAACATCATTACATTGATATTTTAACAAAATCAATGAAAACTCTGGCAGTTCTATCTTGAGAAAATTTATGAATTTATTTCTTGATAATTCAAAAGCTATTCACCTTATGTTAAACTTTTATTCTAATATGATTTTTAGTTCTTAAATAAACAAGTAACAAAATATCAGAACTTTAAATTTTCCAGACATTAACAAGCTTTTTTTTTTTTGGTCATATGAAAAATTGTTTATGATTAGATTAGGCAGCATGCTTAATATCCATTACCATATACTGATTGCAAGACCTCCACATTGAAACAGGATCTTTGTTAAATATTGCTATATTTACCATGCTATGTACATGATAATAATTTAATATGTTAACATGATTAACACCAATAACATCTAGCATTGCACCTAAAAAATTCACTCCAACATTACAACAATATATGACATATACCTTATAATTTTCTGCTATACTTCCAATGTCAGGGTTTACCTAAGTATGATATATTCAAAGGGTGTAAATGTTTTAATGGTAAAAGTATAGATCTACTATAAACATTTTTATGAGGTTTTCTCTGAATATGGCACTTTGATATATTTATCATATTCCCTAAATGTAGCATTTTTACACATTTATTCCCTTAATTTGCCATCTTTTTTTATCATGTAATATTACCAAATTATTACCAAAAAGGTATCTTTACACAGTATAATCCTTAATAATAATTACATCTATATGAGATTGCTCTGTATAAATTTAAAGTTTCAACAAAATGTGAAGGCTATATTTCACTAATGAGCCTTCTTCATAGAAAATCAATAAATCATTAGATATGCTATGTAAGACACCAAAATAAGGTTGTAAAAATTTCCTATGAGGGCAGCCTACATCTACACTAAAAGAAGAAAATAACATATTTTTAACCTCATATAATGAATAAATATAGTTTGAAATGTTTTGAAAATGCTGAATTTATAAATAAGTTTTAAAGCATCAAACCTGTATCTGGAAATAATCTGGGGGATTATTAATAGACAGTTACTATATCAATTGAGTTAGTTCTATATTATTTATTTAAGCAACTTGAAGCTTAACTAAACCAATCTCTAAGCTGCTTATGGAACTGACCAGTACTGTTCTTGTAAAAGGAAACATGGTTGTGGCCCAAGTAGGGCTCGATTCCATGGTCCCTGTGATAAATGGCAGACATCTTAACAATTAAGCACTTGCTCTTCTTACATATATTTATATCAAAGACCATATCAAATAAAAGTGGTGGTAAAAAAAAAATATTTTCAAATCATATAAAAATAAAGAATATAACTGAAAAGCTAGTTTCTATTTTGTAACTATGACTAGTTTTAAAATGATATAATATACAGTATAAGATACCTTGTTTGATATTACACGAATATCTTCTTTGTTGGTTTCCACGACTTCTTCACCTTCATCAAGGTCATCGTAATCATCGTTACCCTGATCTGACCCTGGCAACAAACCCTCATTAGTTGTAAACTTGATGGTTGGCACACAAAACGGGAAAACCAATGACAACAGTATCTAAAAACAGAAACATTGTAGTTGTATATTTGTTAGACAGTAAGACAGAATCAAAATTCGAGGGTTGATAGCAAAACTGTTATAAGTCCTCCTTCATTTCTCCTATCACATAACACAACTGTTACATTTTTTTTCAAAATAACCAACTACTGATTGACTGAAACAGTCTTCGTTTAGAATCTATGTAATCAAATATGAAAACTAATAAAACAACATACTTTCCAAGACTGTGTATACAGGGCCATTCTTCCTTTCCATATAAGGTTAAGCTTGGTCTGACAACATGTATTTCCCATGAACTTCATCAATGTGTGGGTATCAGCCAGGGTGAACAGTGTTGTCTTGCCGTACGGCTCTAACCGTCTCACTAGTAACTGGTGGGCCATCATTTTATCCCTCTTGTAACACTCAGATATCACTCCCACTGCCATGTCTTCATACATGCTATTAGTATAAATACATAGTTTATACTCAATCAAATTAAAAACACGAAACAAGTGATAGACTTATAAATCTTTATTTTTGGCATAACTGGCTAAGAAACATCAGACCAAATGAATGATTATATAATAAATATAACTAAAACTGGAAATAAGACATAAAACATGTTAAAACCATTAAGTCTGGTGTAGTCCGAGCCAGTATGCCTCCTTCTTTCTTGGTATTGGCTTACGAGCCTAATCCCCAAAAGAACATGGATGATAGCAAAGTGTTTGCAACCATCCAGTGTTTATGTAATGTTGAGCATTTACTATATAATTATGTGCTAGTTGAAAAACAAGTAATAGAATGTTTATTAATGCAATAGAGAAGAACTTCTGTTATTATGAATTTATCACTGAATACTGTAAAATTATTAACTTCCTCAAGAGATTAAATTTTGTTAAATTTGTTAATTAAAGATTTTGGCAAAATTAAATGTCTGGTAGAATTAAATATATTTAACAGAAAATTTATATTTAACTGAAAATAGAAATTCACGAAAATTTAAACTCTCTTATATGTCCATACTGTTGATATTGCGAAAACTTTGTCTCACGAAATTATCTGCTTTGACAGTAATACTTCTGACTTTGCCAACATCATTACATTGGAATTTTTTAACAACAAAATCATTTTTTATCATAATATACTGTACAGTTTCTTGCTAAGTTGAAAGTCATGTTACATAGCTTTGCTAATCAATTCACTGTCATTATATTTGATAAAATGACCTTGCAAGAACCATCAACTTTCTAAAAGTTACCATGTTTTACCAAGGATGCCTAACAAAAAGCATCTTGGTGAATGTAGTTATGGCCTTTGACTAAAGTATATCCACTTACTTTGCATGATCTTCTAGATCTTGACTAAGTTCTAGCTCCTCATCATCATCAGCTACTGCTGCTAGAGCCTTTAGGATAGCACATGCTACTAGAGCAGCTCCTGTAATACAAAGTTAGTCAATCAACTCATCACATAGTTTCATTACTATCATCATTATCATCATTTTTCATATTCATCATCATTACCATTATCATCATGATCATAATAACAATCATCATCATCATTGTTGTCATTGCCATCATCATCTTCATCATCATCATCATCATCACTATTATCATTGCCATATATGACCATAATTACATTAATACAATCATCATCATTGTTATCATCATCAACAACATACATATTATTTCCATATTCATCATGACCATAATTATAATCATCATCATCATATTCATTATCATCATCATCATTTTGTTGTTGTCATCATCATAATTGTTATCGTCATTAAAACAGTCAACATCGCCACAATCATCATCATAATCAACATTAGGACTTTGAGCTACTGTAAATATGCCATCTATTGCCTGAAGTATTGACATAATTATACACATACAACTGATTTTATGAACATTACTAAATAATTACTCTAACTCCATACAAATCTAGAAATATCCATGGGACACTCCTGTCCCCACATTTCTCTGTTTTGTCAGTCTACAGACAAACTGTGCAACAGCAGGACAGACAGACAGGGGTAAATCTATAAGCCACCCCAAACACCAACATCCCCCCTCCACCCATTTATTTAAGAGTATATTAAAATTTGAAGAAAAAAAAATTAATAACTATATAAATCTATTAGATCTATTTCTGCATCTAACATATGAAAGCTATTTTACCCAACTGGTCTTGTCCAGCCCTCCACATCATCTTGCCAAGCTCTCTCCTGTTAAACAGTATTGCCCATAGAAACAGTTCCCTCTCAGCCAGTTCTTTAAAATCATACTCATGTCTCTTTCTTTTGAAAAACCTTTTGCCACTCTCCGCTAAAACATAAAAATGTTAATTCTATAAGACCGTCCTTAACCTTTTCCCTTATATAAGCGTGTTTCGACGGCTTTTTGCCCCCCCCCCTTTTTGAGGCCTCAAACAGTGAAAAAATGTCCTATTTAGACCCCAAACACTGTTTTTTGTTTGAGAAATGTTGTTAAAAAAGTGACCATTTTTTCGGCGCCGTCCCCCATCCAAATAATACATCAGGGGGTTGCCAGAAGGGGGATGTGCCCCCTTCTGTTTGGGGGGTTTGAAGGGGGGCGGAGTCTCCCTCATCGCCAAGAAAATTTTGGACTTGTGAGAGGCTTAAAATGTCCCCAGGTTGATCATAAGGTAACGTGTAACCAACGCTGAAAAGCCTTTGACTCTATCTCAATCCCTTGAGAAGTTGCAGCACTTTGAAATAAAATTTGATGGAAAAAATCGAGGCAAAAAAGTGATTTTTGGCAATTTTGAGATGTCCCCTCGTTGCCATGGTAACAGGAAATTTAAGACTGAGCATGTCGTTACAAAGGCAATGGTCCAGTCAACATTTGTGCCAAGTTTGATTAGTATTGAAGCATTTTTCATAGTTTCATAGCAGTTTGAACTTGTAAGAGGAGGCTTTTCAGTGAAAATGGCCATTTTTGACAATATGCTCATGGGGGAAAGGGTTAAATAAGCATTAATTTGTAGCTACCTGCCCACAAGATTTACTTACAAATTCTTCAAATGATTACTACAGCTTAAAAATCTAGAATAAAAAGTTCCCTTACATAATTAACATATTTTGATGATGTCCCATGTAAAAGATAAATATTCATAATATGAAATACTCCATCTGAATCAAAACAAGACTATTAGTACAATGTACATATTAGATAGACTATTGACTATCAGCTATAGTAGGAAAAGCCCATTTTCCCAGACGGCATGAAAGTTAACAACACAACAAATACCTAAGATATTAGTACCTAAAAGATATCACTATAATCAGTCAGTATTACTAGTACTTACCGTAAAATTCCTATTAAACGCCCCCGGGGGCTAAACATTTTCCAAAAGGGGGGCTATTATTACAACACAGTTTTTCCTAAATCCAAAATCACTGTAAATACATTTAGTGTTAGCAAGTGTTGGTAATAACATTAAAAAATGTTAAGGTTTAAAAGTTCATATTATACATATTTGTGTTTACTATAAAATAAAATGGATTCTGAATGATTTGAATAAAATTATGGCTTTAATTATGAGTTCAGCACTGATGAGTAGATCATTTTCCTTATCAAAAGGCCTGGGGGGCCTTTATTAGGGGAGGGGCGTTTATTAGGAATTTTACGGTATATAAAGTTGCTTTTTGAAACAGTTAGTGTGATTTTCCCATTTTCCCAGACAGCATGAAAGTCAACAACACACCAAAGATCTAAGATATTGTCAAAAGATATCAGTCAGTATCATATAAAGTTACTTTTTGAAATAGTTAGTGTGATTGGTGGATAGAAGGACAATACTCTGCACAGAATTTAGTTAAACATAACCTTCGATTAAACTTGAATATTGATATTGGCAATATTAAACAACATAAGAATAGAAAAAAGTTGTTAAAAGTGCAAGTTAGTTTACTGTCTAATACTGTCACCAGTGTACAACTAACAAAGATCACACTCAGATAAAATTATGTATAGAATGCTTAGAAGTTTGTGTATTTCTTATTTCTGAAATAGAATACTTTAAAAGGGTAAAATATGTGTAATTGAAACAATTTACATGTAGAAGTTACACATTAATCAAACCAAATGCCAACATGAACTTCAAATGTAAGTGATCAACTGTGGAATATATAGAAAATTTAGCATTTTAAAAACTGAAGTGTAAATTTCACACTTTAGATGGTCTCTCTTCAAATCTACTGAGCTAATAGGGCATGTAATGCTTCTAAAAAGCATTATATACTTCAATATCAATTTATCATTACTCAATGCTGTTAAAATATATATACTGTACATGGTTTAAGAATAAAATAGTTAAAAAAAAAAACAAGTAAAATAATAAATTAATAAATTGTGTATATTCCTAGGCCTATTTTTGTTAAAAGCAGTCCAAATATTTACACCGGAACCCATCTGAAAGAAATCAATTCCAGCACATAAAAAGCAAACTTGTTAATACTGCTGAGAAAACACTACCCAAAAAGCTTAAAAGTAATCCAATGAAATGATCAGGGTCCATCACAATACTGCTGCCACTTTATCATAGACTTATGACAGTGTTGTGGTGCACCTGTATTATAGTTAAAAGAAGATCTGTAGACCTGCAATTGATTGCTTGTTCCTAATCACGTTAAATCTGGCTTACTTTTTTTTCTTCAATCTGCTAAACTGAATAAGATGTCCTAATGCATACCTTTTTATAGCAGTGGATGTAAATTTGTAAATTTTAACTAGAACTGCCACTGTCTTGGCGTGAATACCCCCGCATACCACTTTGTCAGAATCAACAGTGGCCATTTAGAGCTCAAGGACAACCTCCCTGCCAAATCTGAGGTTAGTAAGCCAGTGCATTGCTAAGTTATGTATTCTACATGCTTCAAATGTGAAAATGTCAAAATCAATACACTGAGGACCTTAAGCATTTGAGCAGACAAGCTTATTGTAGTAAAAGCCCCTGTGACCTTGACCTTTGACACAGTCACCTAAAAATCAATAGGGGTCATCTACTAGTCATAAACAACCTCAATACCAAATATGAAGACTGTTGACCAAAGCATTCTTAAGCAATTGAGCCAACAAGCTTTGTTAGGTCAAGGTCCCAGTCACCTTTGACCCAGTGACCTCAAAATCAATAGGGGTAATCTAATAATCATAAACAACCTCAATACCAAATATGAAAACTGGGTTAGAAGATTCTTAAGTAAATGGGCGGACAAGCTTTTTTTTTAGTGAAGGCCCATGTGACCTTGACATTTGACCTCAAAATCAATAGGGGTCATCTTATAATCATGACTTACCTTCATGCCATATATGAAGACAGTGGGTCAAAGGAATATTATGTTATTGGGCGAACAGGCTTTTTTTAGTCAAGACCCCTGTGACCTTGACCTTTGACCCAGTAATCTCAAAATCAATAGGGGTTATCTACTCACCGTGACTAACCTCCATGCCAAATATGAAGACTGTGGGTCAAAGGAATCTTAAGTTATTGGGCGGACAGGCTTTTTTCAGTCAAGACACCTGTGACCTTGACCTTTGACCCAGTGACCTCAAATTCATTAGGGGTCATCTACTCATCATGACTTACCTTCATGCCAAATATGAAGACTGTGGGTCAAAGGAATCTTAAGTTATTGGGCGGACAAGCTTTTCCTAGGCAAGGCACCTGTGACCTTGACCTTTGACCCAGTGACCTCAAAATCAAAAGGGGTAATCTACTTACCATGACTAACCTCCATGCCAAATATGAAGACTGTGGGTTAAAGGAATCTTAAGCTATTGGGCGGACAAGGAAAAAACGACGGACAGCCGGACACCCGGACGGACGGATGGCCGGACGGACAACCTGATTCCAGTATACCCCCCTTACAACTTTGTTGTGTGGGGGTATAAAAACAATTTTTGACCTACTGACGATAAACTTGAAATCATAGACTTAGTCAATATAAAAAAATAATAAGAAAAGAAAGAAAAATAGTCATACATTATTGAAAAGCAGTTTTTGAAAATTAGACATCTTGTAAAAAGTATTGTCAAACTAATTAAATATAGTGTATACCTAATATCGAACACATATTCTGTGTGTGGTTTAACAAAGAAGTGGGCCTTAAACAAAGGTTCCACTATTTATCATTTTATCAGCTACACTTCATTTTTTTATCACATACCCATGCCACTTTTGCAACTTCATAAAAATGGTATTGCACTGCTGTGCATATATTTTGATGTGATGTCTTTAAACAGTCTTTGTTTGGATATAAGATAAATAGAACATTTTATTTGTGGCTTACCAAAGATAAGAAAAGCAATCAAAAGTAAGTCACAGAATTTCCTTCTTACCAGTGTATTAGAAACTTACAAGCTGCATTTTCGTAGAATTGCACAATTGATCCTTCAAAATGTTTGAAATTTCAAATTTATTCAGTTTATATTTTATTCAAATTTAATATACAAAACTAAGTTGTGATACCTATGATTTAAATAATAAGAGGGAATGAATTTTCTTCAGAGAATATTCATCAATAAAGAATATAATTGAATGTTTACTTTACACAGTGTAGCCCTTTTTACCTTTAATTTCAAAAGTGACCACAAAGTTTTTGACAATTAATTTTCATGCAGCAACTTGACAGATTATCAATTATGTTGCGCACTTGACCACAAACACAAGCTGTTGTACAGCAGCATACTCAACTTTTCGCACTTCTTGATAAAAAAACCTGACAAATTTTATGTTCATAAAAGGGATAATTAAGTGAGAATTCATGCTAGAGTTATGGCTCTTGATTGGTTACTAACAATCCTGACCAATGAACCTTGTAACATGTTTAAAGAGAACATTTTCGGTGGTGGTGGTTGTGATAACAGTGCTTGTATAACAAAGGAAAATTCACCATGGGGAATAATTCAGTAATTTCCATACTTGGGCTATGGGTGTTGGTCAGTGACCTACAATTACAGTCCAAGATACATGTATGTACTTTTGTACGCAACTCGCGCTAAAATGACATTTCTAAAAGTTTCAGCATGAATTTATGTCTAAATATTATATATTTTGGATTTGAAGCATAAATATATCTATATATGTTGAACAAAATTTAGACGCCAATAGAATCACCGAATAGTTTTAAAACAAGTCAGGTGACTTGAACAAATCCTTGAAGTTACATTAACAGATACTGTGGATATTGTATGATTGAAACAAGTCAAAATCATACATTTGACATGTTCTTTAACGTTTCCAGAGTTCACTGTGACAACTATTGTGAAATCCTAGAGCTCTAACTTAACCCACGCGTGTCAGGTTATGAAACCACCATTTTATTCTTTATATGGAGAAAAGTTTTGTTCCTTTGGCTGTCTAATATATTCATTTTGAGGGCTTTTACAGAATTAGGAATGAAAAATTCAAAACTAAGAAATGAAAATTTTGCTTGTGTCTCCCTTTAAATGATTAATGAAAAATGAAGTTGCATGCAAAACCTTAACCAAGGTCCAGCCACACCAAGAAAATGGAAAGGACACTACCATAGCTTCTATCATCACTCAACAAAAATACAAGACCAAAAACCAAGGAATTTAACACAAGATACATGTATCAAACATTTTCTTTAAAGAATAGATATTCTAAAAAAAAATTGTTTGTAATACAGTATGCCATATCATTATTATTTCTCTTTATTTATATGGAGACTTGATGATGGTAATATATTTTTTCATACATATACTATACTTTAAACATCTGTTTTGCTTGACAATATATCATGAAAAGGTTATCAAATTCTATTTAAAACAATAAAAGATTATAATTTGAATTGATATTTTGAGTCTTATTTTGGAAACCAGTCTTGCATCAAAGTTCTTTCATTGGTCAATTCTAAAATCTTATACTAATTCAGCCAATCAGATTCTGTTTTTTTCAGACTGGTCTACTGTCTTAAATATTTTTATTTCCTGAAAGTCTTTGCAAACCAGACATGTTATTTTAGAGTATGCATAGGTGAAGTGGGGATCAGAAAATACTCCAAGAGCTGTACAGTGAAAAAAAAGACTACCTGTTGACGATACTGGATGTAAAAAGCTTTTTCTATTATCTGTAAATGCCATAGCATTAGTTACAAAAACAGAATAAGCATAATTTCACAAATTTCACTTTTCTAGCAAAACAAATAAAGGAAAAAGACGAATAAACATGCAATTAGAAATAAATATTGATTTCATATCAATAAGAGCAAATATTGTATATTCTAAGTAAACAAATTTGTTCACCGTAAAACAAAAACAAGTGATATTTAAACAAAATACACAACTGTATGTACATATAAAATGTACATAAGCCGTATCTACAAATACTAGCTAAAAACATGCATTCTAATAGCAGTAAACTATATCAGCAAACTAAACATGCATTTTAAACAACAGGAAAATAAGGCATGGAAAATCACAAAAAAACAACATTACAAATATTTACACACATCTTACTTATCTATGTATCACATTTAGAATCAAAATGTAAATCAAACTGCTCTATACAGTACCTGATTGGTGTTTTGATAGACCTTGACCTTTCACATTCAACTTTGCATCATGGTTGCCTGGCAACCATTTCAGTTCTGGTTTTCCTGGCTTTTTCACCACAAACTTTTCATCTATAAGTAGAATAATGCATATTAATAACAAGAATAGGTTTAAACTGGAAGGATGGTAATACTGTAAATGATTATGTGGATAGTATTTAGGATCATACGTGAAAACCACAAAAAAATATGTAAGGAACTTGTCGAGAGTGAGAAATACGTACATGATCCAATATGACAATCATATCTATTTATAGATGATAATAAATTGAAAGAAGTATCAAAGTATTCAAGAAATATTTGAGCCGTGTCATGACAAAACCAACATAGTGCGTTTGCGACCAGCATGGATCCAGGCCAGCCTGCGCATCCGCGCAGTCTGATCAGGATCCATGCTGTTCGCTTATCAACCCTATTACAAGTAGAGAAACTGATAGCGAACAGCATGGATCCTGATCAGACTGGGCGGATGCACAGGCTGGTCTGGATCCATGCTGGTGGCAAACGCATTACGTTGGTTTTGTCATGATGCGGCTCAAATCTCAATTTACAAATCTACAGCAGCATATATACTCATCATTTTACATTGAAAAGTAATGTTATAAAATGCGTAAATTATAATATTATAAAAAGATTTACTTCAAATTTTTAATATATGAAGTTTCATAGAATACCTGTATAGCTGTTAAAATTTTCATCTCCTAACAAATGAACCATTAGCTTCCCAACCATACTGAGAAGTTCCGGGTCACTCTTGCTTGTATTGGTTGGACGGCAACACAGATACGCACCCCATGTTTGCTATAAATAAACATAATTTAATGGACATTAATATAACATGATTTTTGAAGCTGCTCAAATATTGAGGTTCTTTTTGGTCACAGATTATAACAGGTTAACTCCTATTATAATATACATGTACATGTAACAGGTGTTATCCTGATAACTGATCTAAGGTAACAATTGTATAATGAAAACAGACTACACTTCAGCCTCATTAAAACGCTCATGTTGGGGTCCAATGTCTCACCACCGCGTTCTTACGAGGCTCTCATTAGAACGCTCATTGCGAAATTACCGCATTATCCCACCCACCACATATTATATATAACGCTGATTTTTTTTTACTTACTGATCAATGAATATGGACATTATCTTTTTCTAAAGCCATTCAATGATGTAAACATGTATTATATTCACAATAATACTTATTATATTTAAAAGAAACGAAAAACTTTGGAAAGAAAATTATAAATCATGAATGTAGTGTAAACACTAACAGTTAGCCATTACTGTAATGACGTTTGATTAACTAGGGGACACAACTAAAGCTGGACTGTAAATAACACTGTAATTTACAGTCCAGCTTTAGTTGTGTCCCCTAGTAAATCAGACGCCAATTACTTCCTGTCATGGCCGCTCTATTTACAGTGCAGGATTTTAAATTGATTTTGGGCTTGTGGGTTATTTAATTCAGCGAGGTTTACATGTCAAAGATATGTGTGTGAATTCTAGTTTATTTATATTCACCACCGGTTGCCAATGTCACAGTTATGATATGAATTTGAGATTTTGGAAACAATTTGACGACAGGTAAAACAACAAAAGAGCAAATAAACGCTTACCTAGGCATGTTTTTCACACCTTTGGCGCTCATAAATGTCCTAATAACAATTGTTTATTGTACTTGACAGTCAAATTGGGCAAGCGTTATTATAGCGTGCTATAAGTCTAAGTCTACTAAAAAAAAAATTTTTTTTTTTTGGAAGTTTTTTTTTTTTTTTTTTTTTTTTTTGGGAGCCAAGGTCTATGAGCGCTCTACTGAGATTAGCGTTATAGTGAAGAGCGAGTTATCGAGGCTACAGTGTACATTCAAATATTTGACAGTAGAAAGTAAGAAGATATTAAAGATGCTCCAATGAAGTTCAAAAGCCAACAAGAAGGCCATGATGACCCTTATATCGCTCACCTTAATATAAATATTCTCCATGACAAGAAATAAGTACATGTAATATTGTAAACTATAAATAAAAGTTCTGATATTCTAGAATTGTAATAAATACTTTCACCAATGACATTTCTTCCTTTAAATATTTGCTCTTAAAAGTTGGAATCAAAAGGAACAGCATTTTTTTGTTCTCACAACCATATCAACTAAACACTTAACCTGTGGGAACTAAAAATATAAGCCGATGCGCTACCAGTATAGAGCCAGCCCAGCCAGTCTGACCAGGCTCTATACATATATTATTGGTTGCTTTTGTATTCTTAAGAATCTAATTTAGAAGTCCCTTAGACTTTGAATGAACTGCTCCAAATTAAAAGCTAGAAAAATCAATACATAAATTCAAGAATTTCAGGGTCATAATGAATGAAAACATGTAATTATCAAAATGATAGCAAAATAAATCCTGAACAACCTCCATGTTTGAGTTATTGGCCTTGTATAGTGAACTCCCATTATGCTCTCAAATAAATATGCAAAGTTCCACACCATTCACTTCAGTAGATCTTCAGTAGATCTGGAGAAACCTTGCACGCAAAAACTTCACCAAAGTGTGACCCTGACACCAGAGCAAGAACAACAGCTTTCCCAATAGTCAAGCTTAAAAACTGTAACATGAGATGTTAGTAAGATACTTCACTAGACTATTCCCTCACCTTAATTTTATAATAAAAGCCTCAATAATGAAGCATTCTTTTTAAGGGGAAAATTTCAGTGAAAATCCATGGGTGTTGGATAGTGACTTTTAAAGTATGTTACTGAAGACATGTTACTTTTAAGTTTTTAAAACATCAGTATCAATACAAGAATTATGGACCAAATCCATGCTGGAAATATTTGTCTCCTGTGGTGATTTAAAATATTGATCATAAAGATGTACCAGGGTTATTAGTGAATGCTTGTGGAGATTGATTTTTGCACAAGAAAACTTTACCAAGAATATTTTAATTTCATAAAGGACTATCATTCAGAAAATATCTATGCTAGAGTTATGGGTCTTGAACAGCAATATTAACAGCTTTAAAGCCAATTTACTCTATTTATGACAGAAAAGCAATTTTTGTGCTTATATATATCTTGTGAGTCATATATAATATTGTGATAACATTTGTACATTACTAAAATGTAAATTTTTATCAGACAATCAGACAATCTGCTGCATAATGACATCATTGGAATAACACCTGCCTGTCTCTGTGCTTTGTTTGAAGCATGATTATAACAAATGGCCAATAGATTTTTGTATTAAACTTGTTTAAATTGTTGATAAAAAAAACATCAGTAACAGTGTTTAAAGTGCTTAAAATGTTAATGCAAATGTCAAACAATGTTGAAAAACTGCAAGCTATAACAATGAACAAAATATGACTGTTACAGTGAAATGCAAGAAAATTATGTTGAAAACTGATCAACGATCAAACACCATGATGAAACAATCTTTGACTTTCAAAATGTATAAAAAACAGCAAAAAAACAAAAACCAAACAAAAATAAAAATGCTAATTGCAAAATGCATAAAAAAGAGTTCATCGTAAAGTGAAAGGTTTTACTCCGGCAGTACACATGTCAAAAGGCTTCACAGGTAAAGTGGACAATGTGAGAACGGAAATCTAACATACAGCATTCAGTTCATAATGTATGAAAAACAATGAATTCCTGATAGCATTTACTATACCACAGCATTTACTATACCACTTTGCTTAAATAAACTTATAAATCATACAAAAAGCATATGACTCTTGGAGGAATATCATGTCAAAGGATTGAAATGCACTATCTATTCAAGAAGAAATAAAAATATTATTCATCAGTTAAATGTTTCAAATTCAAAACAGTGCAAGTCAGTTACACAAGCTTAGTCAGGCATGGATGAAATATATAATTATAGAGGCTACTGAATGAGTGTAGGTTCAATACTGAATTAATTGACGAGTTCAATAAATTTAGTAATGAACCTACATGAATATAATATTTTATTTATCACATATCCAAAATAAGAACTGTTTAGAGGAAAAAAGAATCACTTTTCATTGATGCACTTTTAGTGTAACATTATCATTTATCACAGCTTTACACTATGTTTGTATAACGCAAATGATGTCACGTCAAAATATATGCACGGCCATGCAATACCATTTTTCCGGAGTCGCAAAATGGCATGGGTATGTGATAAAGCAGTTTAATGTATGTATGACTGTGCAGATTAAAATAACGTGAACTTTTCAAACTTACCCTACTCTGAAGCAAACAAAATCAAAACAAGAACCAAAATAAAGCATATACTAAATATATAAATGAACAAAATATGTAAATTAACAAAAGAGAAATGGTGGAAGAAGCATGAATGATGACAACTATAAGCATACAAGAAGTTCTTTTAATGTTACAGTTAATTCCTAATTTATGTTAAAGGTAGGTTCCATTGTTTACCAGCAGCATAAATTACTATTTCAATAATTATCATAACCATCATCTCGCTAGAACCGATTTCGCTATAAATGGTATAAAATGAAAGAAAAATAGAATGGGAAAAGGCCAGGACACAGTATAGTTTACGTTTGTAAGCAGTACCTCTTTCAAACCAATCTCGTAATAAGTGCAGTAGACTGTATATATGTATTATTGTATAAGTAAACATACTTAGTGACCTACCTTCAGATATAGAATGAGGTTATTCAAAGTCTGTGCCATAGTGTCCGAAGTGTCCAAGAGGGCCTTCACAAGAAAAAAATAAATAAATAAAACACATAAGATAAAAATCATAACTAGAAATTTATCCATACATATTCATTAACTGTTGTTTATTAAAAGTGGTAATATGTATTTCCCAAAAATTGACGATGATTCCCCTAATTTAACTAATTTTCTTGTAACAGACATCACACTGCTTAAATGACTAAACCAGTAAATACTAAATCTTCAATAGACAGGTATTGATAGCATAAAATTACGTTTCTAGGTTACAAAACTTATTTCCTTGCAAAATGTATTCTTAGCCAGGCTCTCTATTCTTATTATCTTCATATTTGTTACATGCAAGATTGTTAAGTTTTATAAAAATATATTTCGAACCTATTTTTTTACTCTACAAGAACAAATGCTACTGGAGTCATATGAGGAAACATGAGTGTTACTGAAATAAGGCTTAACCCACATTTCAATATTTCAGAGGCAGGTACCATGACAAAACATGACCTCAGTCAAGCTTAATCCACAACCCCAAGGTTTAGAGGCAAACACATGCTCAACTAGGCCATGGCTCCATTGTTCCCCTTTGGTCCCTTGACCACCTTTTACCTTCCAAACTATTAAAAACACTTATACAATAGAGAAACAAGGTCTGTCTTACATTTGCATACAGGTTCCACAAGGTCTCGATACTCAGAAATTTCTTCAAACTCACTCCATTCTCCATAAACAAGTGTACAAAGTCAACACGATCCTGAACCAGAGCAGTGAACATGGCATCGTACAATGGTAGGTTCTAAAACGAAAAATTGATAAAAAATATATTTCTGACGAAAATACCAAGTCTTTGAAGAAGACTACATGTATTATAAAAATGCATGTTACATATTTAAATGGGTTATCTTCAGAATGTTTCAAACTTGTAGAATACAGTCTAACTTGCCCATGCGACCACGTGTATTAAGCGACTTTTGCCTTAAATGACCACTTTAAATTCCCCCCGGTCATTTTCTCTCTATATCTTTAATGTATTAAGCGACTTTTGCTCAACGCGACCAGCGACCGCTAATTAGTCACCTTATTGACATCAATCTTTTCATTAAACAACCACTTATACCTGTCAAGTAATTGTGTTTTTAGAGAACGCCACCTCGTTATGTCACAAGTGTCAGCAATCAAAACACAACAATAAACGTGTGCAAAACTCTATTTCCCATACCGTTTTAGCGTATGCAAATGAAAATAAGTATACGCGTGACGTGTATTATCCAATAATATCGGATAAACAATGCAACGCTCCGCCCATACTGAGATGGTGTATACGCTTCGCTTGTTGACATTTAGACTGCATTGAATTGACCTTGAACTTTATCAGCCATTAAATTAATCGTAACATATAGATGTAGTTTGTTTATTTCAAATGAAAAAATGCACAACAGAAAACATCTTCACTAATAGGGTTTTCGTGTTGGAGACAAGGAAAAACAACGGAGAAGTTAAACAATTCTGGAAAAAATGTCAAACATGTACGTAATGGATCAAAACTGTTTTGTCAGTTATTTTTACATTTGCATCCGTTTAGATTATCGAAGCGTACTTATTATTCAACATTTATATAAAAAGTTGAAAAACAATCCCATCGAATAAAAAAGATGTCATTTATAAATTTTGACTTTTATATCATGCAGACTGTCTTAAGAGACCGTTTCATTAGGCGACCGATTTTGGTGTTTCCCTTGCCCGGTCGCTTAATACACGTTTGACTGTAATTAGAAAGTTAAAATGTCAACCAAATTTATATTTTCCAAGCTTCAGTTTGAATCAGTTGCAATGAATAGTATATATAAACAGACACTAGTATCACTTTTGGTAGATTTCATACTTGCTGGAAAGAAGCCCCACCCTCATTCCACACTCTCAGAAGAACAACTATTAATTGTCTTACCCCATACAGACAAATTGCAATATCCTCATTCATATCAATAAATCAATATTTATGTCAAAGATCAAAGACCAAAAATTATCAAAATTATTAAATGTCACATTTGGCCTGACACTTCTATCTAGTAAAATAACAAAAGCTTTAGTTTAGTTTATATCAATTTATTTTAGCTCGGCTGTGTTGGAAGTTATAAGCTTATTGAAACACATTAGAATCTGTTCTTGGAACCAACCTGTACTAAGCAATGAGTGTAAAGTTTCTTGCTCAAGGAAACAACGGCTTGCTCCTGGCGGGGTTTGAACGCACGCGGTCAGCAATCCTTATATTACTAGTCTGACGTGTTAACCTCTCGGCCACGCCCAACACAAAAGATTTAGATGATCATGGCAATACAAATATATAAATCTTTAAAATTTATTAAAAATTTTGAAAATACCTTCCAGTATTGTCTATTAGACTGAGTAAAGATCTCATGTCTAGCAATATCACATCGGTTCCAGGCTAGAGCCAGAGACAACTGGGCATTGGCATTTGTCTTGTTGGCCTTCAGTAAAGCATAGAGAATAGCCCTATCTATATCCTTAGTATCTGCCTCTCCCAGATTAAATATGTTTATCTACATCAAAAAAGAAAAATTATCACATCATAAGTTGTTAACAATAAACCTAAAGTTTGCTGGTCCAATATTGTAACTAGAACTCCGCGAGTCGGATGTGTCGCCTTGTGAACAATGTAGTTTAGGGGAAATGGCCAGGACAAAAATGAAATATGAAAAATAACAAAGTGCAATAACTAAAAAAAAAAATAAGTGCAGAGCAGCAGTTTCTGTACACTGCACTTCTTATCAATAAGATCTATCATTCTATGATGTTTCAAGTCCATAGCTTTCATACTTGAGGAGAAATGACCAGGACAAAAATAAAGTAAGAAAATCAACAAAGGGCAATAACTCAAAAATAAGAAATGCAGAGTATCAGTTCTTATGCACTGCACTTCTTTGTAATGAGATCTATCATCCTATGAAGTTTCAAGTCCATAACTTTTATACTTTCGGAGAAATGGCCTGGACAAAAATTAAGTATGAAAATTAACAAAGGGCCATAACTCAAAAATTAAGAAATGCAGAGTACTGATTCTTGTGCACTGCACTTCTCAATAATGAGATCTATCATCCTATGAAGTTTCAAGTCCATAGCTTTTATACTTAAGGAGAAATGGCCCGGACAAAATTAAAGTATGAAAATAAACAAAGGGCAATAACTCAAAAAATAAGAAATGCAGAGTACCAGTTCTTGTGCACTGCACTTCTTCTTAATGAGACCTATCATCCTATGAAGTTTCAAGTCCATGGCTTTTATACATTAGGAGAAATGGCTCGGACAAAAATAAAGTATGAAAATTAACAAAGGGCAATAACTCAAAAATTAGTAAGTGCAGAGTACCGATTCTTGTGCACTGCACTTCTTAATAATGAGATCTATCATCCTATGAAGTTTCAAGTCCATAGCTTTTTTAGTTGAAGAGAAATGGCCCGGACAAAATTAAAGTATGAAAATTAACAAAGGGCATTAACTCAAAAAATAAGAACTGCAGAGTACCGGTCCTTGTGCACTGCACTTCGGGTTATTGAAAGAAGCATGCATACCAAGTTTGAAGTCAATCAGACTTATAGTGACTGAGTTATGCTCCGGACAAGCTTTAGCAGACACCGACAACGACAACGACGCCGACACAGACGCCGCCGCCGCCGCCCACACCGCCGACAAAAGTAACCCCTATATGTCACCTTTTCAAGGCGACACAAGTGTCGCCTTGTGAACAATGTAGTTTAGGGGAAATGGCCAGGACAAAAATGAAATATGAAAAATAACAAAGGGCAATAACTAAAAAAAAAAATAAGTGCAGAGCAGCAGTTTCTGTACACTGCACTTCTTATCAATAAGATCTATCATTCTATGATGTTTCAAGTCCATAGCTTTCATACTTGAGGAGAAATGACCAGGACAAAAATAAAGTAAGAAAATCAACAAAGGGCAATAACTCAAAAATAAGAAATGCAGAGTATCAGTTCTTATGCACTGCACTCTTTTGTAATGAGATCTATCATCCTATGAAGTTTCAAGTCCATAACTTTTATACTTTCGGAGAAATGGCCTGGACAAAAATTAAGTATGAAAATTAACAAAGGGCCATAACTCAAAAATTAAGAAATGCAGAGTACTGATTCTTGTGCACTGCACTTCTTAATAATGAGATCTATCATCCTATGAAGTTTCAAGTCCATAGCTTTTATTCTTAAGGAGAAATGGCCCGGACAAAATTAAAGTATGAAAATAAACAAGAAACATGGCAATGCCATGAAACCAGGTTTTCAATTATCACCATTGTAGATAAATATGTTGTATTTGAAATACAAATACAAGCAACAAACAATGTAACTATGTGCAATGTAAAACATGAATAATGTAGGAGGAATTGCCACTGAAGAAGTGTTCACTATAATATTATGTATAAGGAAAAAAACAAAGGGCCATAATTAGGTCAAAAACTATCCAATCACAAAACCCCGACAATATGTGCCAGGGTGCTTGATGACAAAGCTTCTGTGAAAGTTTGAACAAAATCCGTTGAGAAATGTAGGACGAGTTCAGCACAGAAGAATTTGTTCACTATAATTATATTGATAATTCTGTATAATGAAAAAACAAGTTACAAAGAGGACATGAAATAATATATCATATCTTTTTTAAATTACCTCCAAAGATGATATGACCTTTGACTGCCAAATCAAGTTAAAATCATGTAAACAGGATTTTCAATGTTAATGTCACTGTGACCTTGACCTTGGAGCCAGCCATGCGGAACATGCGTTCTGCACGTCATCTTGATGTGGTAAACATTTGTCTGAAGTTTCATCAAAAATTCTTCAAAGGGTTGAAGAGTTACAGAGCGGACAGGATTTTCAATGTTAATGTCACTGTGACCTTGACCTTGGAGCCAGCCATGCGGAACATGCGTTCTGCACGTCATCTTGATGTGGTAAACATTTGTCTGAAGTTTCATCAAAATTCTTCAAAGGGTTGAAGAGTTACAGAGCGGACACAATTTCAAGTTAAAATCATGTAAACAGGATTTTCAATGTTAATGTCACTGTGACCTTGACCTTGGAGCCAGCCATGCGGAACATGCGTTCTGCACGTCATCTTGATGTGGTAAACATTTGTCTGAAGTTTCATCAAAATTCTTCAAAGGGTTGAAGAGTTACAGAGCGGACAGGATTTTCAATGTTAATGTCACTGTGACCTTGACCTTGGAGCCAGCCATGCGGAACATGCGTTCTGCACGTCATCTTGATGTGGTAAACATTTGTCTGAAGTTTCATCAAAATTCTTCAAAGGGTTGAAGAGTTACAGAGCGGACACAATTTCAAGTTAAAATCATGTAAACAGGATTTTCAATGTTAATGTCACTGTGACCTTGACCTTGGAGCCAGCCATGCGGAACATGCGTTCTGCACGTCATCTTGATGTGGTAAACATTTGTCTGAAGTTTCATCAAAATTCTTCAAAGGGTTGAAGAGTTACAGGGCGGACAGGATTTTCAATGTTAATGTCACTGTGACCTTGACCTTGGAGCCAGCAATGCGGAACATGCGTTCTGCACGTCATCTTGATGTGGTAAACATTTGTCTGAAGTTTCATCAAAATTCTTCAAAGGGTTGAAGAGTTACAGAGCGGACACAATTTCAAGTTAAAATCATGTAAACAGGATTTTCAATGTTAATGTCACTGTGACCTTGACCTTGGAGCCAGCCATGCGGAACATGCGTTCTGCACGTCATCTTGATGTGGTAAACATTTGTCTGAAGTTTCATCAAAATTCTTCAAAGGGTTGAAGAGTTACAGAGCGGACAGGATTTTCAATGTTAATGTCACTGTGACCTTGACCTTGGAGCCAGCCATGCGGAACATGCGTTCTGCACGTCATCTTGATGTGGTAAACATTTGTCTGAAGTTTCATCAAAATTCTTCAAAGGGTTGAAGAGTTACAGAGCGGACACAATTTCAAGTTAAAATCATGTAAACAGGATTTTCAATGTTAATGTCACTGTGACCTTGACCTTGGAGCCAGCCATGCGGAACATGCCTTCTGCACGTCATCTTGATGTGGTAAACATTTGTCTGAAGTTTCATCAAAATTCTTCAAAGGGTTGAAGAGTTACAGAGCGGACAGGATTTTCAATGTTAATGTCACTGTGACCTTGACCTTGGAGCCAGCCATGCGGAACATGCGTTCTGCACGTCATCTTGATGTGGTAAACATTTGTCTGAAGTTTCATCAAAATTCTTCAAAGGGTTGAAGAGTTACAGAGCGGACACAATTTCGTTTGACGCCCGCCCATCCGCCCATCCGCCCATCTGCCCATCCGCCCATCCGCCCGCCATACCCCAATCTAATAACCAGGATTTTCAAAATTGAAAACCTGGTTAACAAAGGGCAATAACTCAAAAAATAAGAAATGCAGAGTACCAGTTCTTGTGCACTGCACTTCTTCTTAATGAGACCTATCATCCTATGAAGTTTCAAGTCCATGGCTTTTATACATTAGGAGAAATGGCCCGGACAAAAATAAAGTATGAAAATTAACAAAGGGCAATAACTCAAAAATTAGGAAGTGCAGAGTACAGATTCTTGTGCACTGCACTTCTTAATAATGAGATCTATCATCCTATGAAGTTTCAAGTCCATAGCTTTTTTAGTTGAAGAGAAATGGCCCGGACAAAATTAAAGTATGAAAATTAACAAAGGGCAATAACTCAAAAAATAAGAACTGCAGAGTACCGGTCCTTGTGCACTGCACTTCGGGTTATTGAAAGAAGCATGCATACCAAGTTTGAAGTCAATCAGACTTATAGTGACTGAGTTATGCTCCGGACAAGCTTTAGCGGACGCAGACGCCGACAACGACAACGACGCCGCCGCCGACACCGCAAACAAAAGTAACCCCTATATGTCACCTTTTCAAGGCGACACAATAAAATTAGGTAGATTTCCAAAACATATCATGAATCTTTTTGGCACAGCATATAATAATGCAACAAAGATATAACAATAAACAGTGTAAATGTTGCACTTTTGTTACATGCTATTCTATTATAAGTGGGAGTGTCATGTTTATCCGTTTATGCCGAGCTTATGATTAAGGAAGCATTTTAGGTAACCAAACAGAATAGAACATAAGCAAACAGAGGGTGACTACTGAACACATGTATAAAATAGTGTGATTTTTGTCGCAGGCATCACAAAATGGCCATTCAGGCCAGGTGATCATTTAACAGAGATGACCTTTAGTAAAGGTTTGACTGTATAGTAAAACAGTCACATGGTATAAAGAACTAAACCAAATTCTGAGTCCAAAAAAAGGAGGCATAATTTTGTCAAAACCTATGGTTTGCATGAATTTTGGGGTAAAGGTTACTGACAAGTATTCAGCATTTTAAAATATTATCATAAATGGTATAGATAAACAAAGGGGAGATAAAAATATAACTGACATTCTTTGTTGATATATATTAATATAAACTTTACCAGTTTTGGAGTATTAAGGGCATCCCTAAGTTGACGAAGACACTCTGCAACTTTCTTTTTGACATTATCTGTCGACTTCCAGGCAAACTTCATCTGAGCAACATGGGTCATCTCCTCATTAAAATCTGGTGGAAATTTGGGTTTGTCCTCACTGAATTATTAAAATAAAACACATTGTTCTACATGAAATAAGGAAAATTACAATTACTTATTAATCAAGATTGACAGAGAGGATGCAGCTGGCATTATTGTACTGCTAGCAGAACTCATTACATTGGTTAGAGCCAAAAAAAAGAAAAAGAAACAAGTTAAAAACATTACCAAAGTCAACATCCTTTTTGCAAATTTGTGAAAGCATATGAACTAACTGGTAAGTAACACTCAATACAAATGTTATTTATAAATAAAGAAATAAAGAGATCAATCATTATCATTATAGAAAAAAAAAAAATTTGCGCTACTCACTTTTTCGGATCTTTAGACAACAGGTAACCGTAAGCTATAAAATCTGCTGCTCTGCCAGAACCGTTGAGAACTAGAACCGGAATGTTCTGCTGGACGGCCTGCCACACAGTCTTCATGGTGTTTACCCCACCCTCCACTACCAGCATTACCACTGGTACATTCACACCTACAAAAACAAAAGTTTAAATACTCATTAAACTGGCAACATATCTCTATATTATACCAATTTTGACAATATGTCTTATTATAAATTATTTATCAACTTACTCTGTGATTCGGCAACTCCAGTCTCGACTTTTTCTGACACATATCTTTCAAAAGTTGATCTAAATTCAATTTCTGCACCAAACTTCCCCTCAGTTCCATCATCAACTAACATAAAATGCGTATGATTATGGTCTAATGGCACATCACGACCTTTCACCTCTGAAACATCCTCTAAACTGTAAGTTGCTGGGAAAATTCCTTCATCCTTTCAGAAATAACAAAAATATACATGTATATACATACAATAATTAACTAAAATGACATAATCGGTATCTGCAAAAAGCCAAAATCTTTATTTTCAAAACTGGAATCAGATTAAAGTTTACTTTACAACTTTTGTAAAACCAAATTGTAATTTGACAGTGTATGATATCTTGAAATTGACCAGTAATGCAAACAAAGGGAAATATGATTTTTAAAGGCTGTAGTGAATAAAATACAAAACAACACCATGTTTGAATAAACACAATGTTTTTGTACAAATTACTTTTCTTAAAGATGAATGTTGCTTACAAAAAAAATACCTGAATCAGGTAACACAAGTATTTGTACAAGAATAGCCATTATTAATCTCAATGTTGAGGGGGCCCCTTTAGTTCATTTCAGGGAGAACCATTAATTAAGTACTAAACAGTATTATGCCATGCCCACTTTACTTACCCCTTCTCCATCCAAAGCTTCCCTGTTTGCAATACAACCCCAAGTAGCAATTCCTAAAGCTACAATATTATTTTCACTGCTGCCAAGTGTTATGAGATGGTCCCTCACAGCTTCTCCCACAAACTGCATCACCCCTGTAGCTGTCCCTCCAGTGATAATCCACGCCCCTGTTAATATAAAATAAACTTATCTTTAAATAACATAAAATAAACTTTTAAACTACTTCAACGAATGTAAATCAACAAGTAACTGTATCTTTTTCATAGAATTTTATATCAATGACTTATTGAAACTTCTTCAAAGGGCCATGGTTATCTAATAATAGAACTAAGGGCTGAAAACGACTCATGCTCATATTAAAAATGACACAAAGTTTACTAGCATACACACTAAAATTTCAATCTTACAGCTTCTATTTTTTTATATCCATCCTAAGAAACAATGTTAAATGGATGCTATGTATCTTGATGAGAAACAAAGTAAGTGCAAAACTCAGAAATCTGTCCATTAGCAAAAGCAGAATAACTCTTCAAAGACAAACCAGTAAACTATATATTCAAACAAACCAGTAAAATTTGAATCAAACAGACCAGTAAACTATGAATCAAACAGACCAGTAAGCTATGAATCAAACAGACCAGTAAACTATGAATCAAACAGACCAGTAAACTATGAATCAAACAGACCAGTAAACTATGAATCAAACAGACCAGTAAACTATGAATCAAACAGGCCAGTAAACTATGAATCAAACAGGCCAGAAAACTATGAAATCAAACAGGCCAGAAAACTATGAAATCAAACAGGCCAGTAAACTATGAATCAAACAGGCCAGAAAACTATGAAATCAAACAGGCCAGTAAACTATGAATCAAACAGGCCAGTAAACTATGAATCAAACAGGCCAGTAAACTATGAATCAAACAGGCCAGTAACCTATGAATCAAACAGACCAGTAAACTATGAATCAAAACAGGCCAGTAAACTATGAATCAAACAGGCCAGTAAACTATGAATCAAACAGGCCAGTAAACTATGAATCAAACAGACCAGTAAACTATGAATCAAACAGGCCAGTAAACTATGAATCAAACAGGCCAGTAAACTACGAATCAAACAGGCCAGTAAACTATGAAATCAAACAGGCCAGTAAACAAGAATCAAACAGACCAGTAAACTATGAATCAAAACAGGCCAGTAAAACAAGAATCAAACAGGCCAGTAAACAAGAATCAAACAGGCCAGTAAACAATGAATCAAACAGGCCAGTAAACTATGAATCAAACAGGCCAATAAACTATGAATCAAAAAGGCCAGTAAACTACGCATCAAACAGACCAGTAAACTATGAATCAAACAGACCAGTAAACTATGAATCAAACAGGCCAATAAACTATGAATCAAACAGGCCAGTAAACTACGAATCAGACAGGCCAGTAAACTATGAATCAAACAGGCCAGTAAACTAAGAATCAAACAGACCAGTAAACTATGAATCAAACAGGCCAGTAAACAAGAATCAAACAGGCCAGTAAACAAGAATCAAACAGGCCAGTAAACTATGAATCAAACAGGCCAATAAACTATGAATCAAACAGGCCAGTAAACTACGCATCAAACAGACCAGTAAACTATGAATCAAACAGACCAGTAAACTATGAATAAAACAGACCAGTAAACTATGAATCAAACAGGCCAGTAAACTATGAATTCAAACAAACCAGTTAACTATGAAATCAAACAAGCTAGTAAACTATGAATCAAACAAACCAGTAAGTTATGAATCAAACAAACTAGTAAACTATGGAAAAAAAATAAACCAATAAGTTATGAATCGAACAGACCAGTAAACTATGAATCAAACAGACCAGTAAACTATGAATCAAACAGACCAGTAAACTATGAATCAAACAAACAAGTTAACTATGAAATCAAACAGGCCAGTAAACAAGAATCAAACAGACCAGTAAACTATGAATCAAACAGGCCAGTAAACAAGAATCAAACAGGCCAGTAAACAAGAATCAAACAGGCCAGTAAACAATCAAGAATCAAACAGGCCAGTAAACTATGAATCAAACAGGCCAATAAACTATGAATCAAACAGGCCAGTAAACTACGCATCAAACAGACCAGTAAACTATGAATCAAACAGACCAGTAAACTATGAATCAAACAGGCCAGTAAACTATGAATCAAACAGACCAGTAAACTATGAATCAAACAGGCCAGTAAACTATGAATCAAACAGGCCAGTAAACAAGAATCAAACAGGCCAGTAAACAAGAATCAAACAGGCCAGTAAACTATGAATCAAACAGGCCAATAAACTATGAATCAAACAGGCCAGTAAACTACGCATCAAACAGACCAGTAAACTATGAATCAAACAGACCAGTAAACTATGAATAAAACAGACCAGTAAACTATGAATCAAACAGGCCATTAAACATTAATTCAAACAAACCAGTTAACTATGAAATCAAACAAGCTAGTAAACTATGAATCAAACAAACCAGTAAGTTATGAATCAAACAAACTAGTAAACTATGAAATCAAATAAACCAATAAGTTATGAATCAAACAAACTAGTAAACTATGAAATCAAATAACCAATAAGTTATGAATCAAACAAACTAGTAAACTATGAAATCAAATAAACCAATAAACAAAGGATCCAACAAACTAGTCAACTATAAATTAAACAGACCTGTAGTAGTTGCAGCATTTATAAGACCTCTCTTGAAGACAGCTTTGAGTCGAGGATTCAGGTCAAACCTCTGTGCCCCGCCGGTCACTGATATAAGAAGTTTTGGGATAGGTAACTTCCAATGCTCTGTCAATAAGGTCCAAAGATTTTCCATCTCAGTTGTAGGGCATAAGCGGATGTACTGACAAATAAGAATAAGGATCATTAATACATTTTAAAATGAAAGGAAATAAATACATACATAAATAAAAATCTGTAAAATGGTATGGGTAATTGTTAAAAGTAAATAAAGTGATTGTTTTAAAAATATGTAACTGCAAATGTACTTTATAATGACTTTGTCACAGTGAAGCAAGTACTGATGACCAAAAACCATTTTACAGTAAAGGAGACCGAGGGCTAGATTACCAGCCAATTGTTTCCAAGAAAGATGAGAACGGTCGCACAAATTGTTCCATTGCATTCTTTTTATTATTCTATTATTACCCAGTTAATTTGTGTAAAGTGCATGTCAAGCTTTGAAGTCATGACTGTTTAATTGTTGATATTTAGGTATTTTAATGTTAAAATAAGATGCTGAGGAATGAAACAAATAGTATAGACCTTTGACAAACAACAAGATTTATGACTGCCCAAATGAAATAGTTAAAAGCAGTGAATTGACTTCTCTTCTAATATATTGACAGCAGCATAATTCATCATGAATGAGGTAAAGAAGCCTATTAATATTTAAAATGAATAAAAGTTGGTTTATAAAGAATTTATTTTAGTTTGATTGTGTAGGAAGGTATTAGCTTATAGGCACACTTTCGAATCTGTTCCTGGAACCAATTAGTACTAAGCAATGAGTGCAAAGTTTCTTCCTCAAGGAAGCAAGGACTCACCCCTGACGGGGTTTGAACCCATGCAGAAAGTGATCATTATATAAAATAAAACAATCAGTCTTTCATATAACAAACTTTTCATGTAATTAACATTAGTATATTAAGCCACTTTGAAATTTTAATTTTAGGGCTTTTTTTTGTTTTGTTTTTTTACACAAAGGCAAGTAGCATCTTTATCAAAAATAAAAATCAGAGGAAAAAATCCTACAGGCGAGTTGTATGACTCCTGTCCAAACCCCTGAAATTGTATGACACCAAAAGAGTCAGTGGGGGCAACCTCTGTGTGTGTTTTATGATGCCATATATTTTTCTCTATATAGCGATGTTTATGAAAATCTGGAACTTCAATATCATTCATCTCATGCCACTCTACTGAACGTCCACACTGACAATTGTTCCTGGGAAATAAAATTTAAAACATGCATTATAGAAAGTTTCCAACTTTTACAATATTTACCTCTATCTATGCAGTATATCACTTTTTTCATCAATTGTCAATTAATCAAACTCACCCACTGTTTCTTTCTAAATAAAATGAATTCCTGTAATTACATCAATTTAAACACAGTTTCTGTTTCGTTGTTTCATTTTTTTTTTTATTTTTTTTTTAATTTTTATAAATATCATAAAGGAAACATTAAAAGACAACAGAATAATTCTTCTTCTTGAAATCATAAGATAAGCTCATGTACAAAGACATAAAATATTTAATTTACAATGAAACTTGATAGCTTAATAAAATATTTAAACATACTTGGCAGACTTTTTATCCTGAACATACACTTTGCAGATTCTCTGCAAAAACTTGCCACCCTGAGTTACAAAATTTGCTAATTGTATCTGAAAATAAGAATAAAAATATCTTAAAATTGCTTATATATAAAAATGTTATCTAAATGATTTCATCAACAATATTGCCTTTAATATCGGAAATTATAAGTTACTTTGTATATGCCTGCAAAACAACAATTTCTATGTTTGAATGAATGCCAAACCTTTAAAGAAACCTTAACTTAATGACCTTTGACCCAGTTACCTCATAGGAGGTCTGGTGGGTAAAGGTCATCAGGGTGCATGCATCTGTTAAGTTTGTAGACTGTAGGACTTCTGTGTTGTAGTGAACATTAAAGTTTTGTGACAATAAAAGCAATGTGCTCAATAAAGGGGTATAAAAAAGTCAGAAACTATGGAGAAACATTCTTACATCATTTTTTAAGAAACGTTTATGAAAATGTCATAAAACAAATTGCAAAAATCAAAAATATATTCATACATTATAAAAATTTGTTGCTCTATGTTGGGGCAATTTTTTTTGTCTTGTTAAACGTAAATTAGTACTTTTGAATAATGAAATAAAAGCAATCACTAGCTTACAGTATATACAATGGGACTCTTAATAACATATTTCGTAAGTTTTTAGTTAATACAATGTACCTTGCATGTACTTGTTTCAGAGATACTCAGGAAAAACAGATATTGGAATATTATCCAAGTGTAAAAGGGCTCCCATGTAAACCTAAATTATGTTTATAAGTGGTATTATACCACATGAATCATTTAGTCAACTGTCCCAGAAAGTTTGAAACAAAGTAAATCACCACAACAATTGTTTTTACAAGAAACTTACATTATCCAGCTCTTTATCAGTGCAGTTTTGGATGTCTGAGTGACATGTGGACATGGACATCACTTTGTGAGGCGATTTCTTTAGAATCGGGCCTGCCATGTTGGTTATGCTTGATCGAATATCCTTCGTTTTTTCATTATTAAGTGTATATGTGCCGTTACTCTTTACTGACTCGTGATCAGACTCATGTGGCCGTAAGTTGACAGGAGATCTTTGATAGGCAGTGTTAGTATATGAGTAAGATCCTTGCGTATCATTCGTCAACTCATTGTCCTTTTTCTTTTTACGTTTCTTACTCTTCTTCTTGTAATGTTTTTCTAAATTTTCTTCATCGAAAAAGTTTTCTTTTCTCTCATCAGACTTTGGCGGCCTGGGTATTTTACTTTTTTCCCTTGGGGTTTTTCCTGATGGTTGATAACTGCCCTGAAATGGGTCATCTGTGTTCATAGAACCAAGCATTTCATCATAGGTATTGTGACGCCCAAGAGTATATCGTGGAGTTCGGGAAATACTATCAATATAGGCGTCTGAAAGTTCACGTTCTACAGGTCTCACATCTTCTTTCTTTTTCAACCTAACAAGAATACATAAATATAAAAATATTCACATGAAAAAGAACTATTTTACAGATAAACAAAGTCTACATTGAAAATGATATACAAGTCATATGATCTATCAACAATTACTGGAAACTACTATTTACCTAACTACAGATATACATGTAGAGATATATGGAGAAAACACTTGTAACAATTCTCATACATTGGCTGTAACTATTATACTAAGTAATTGAAACTTAAAATGTGTCCACAGGTTATGGATGCCCCCACCTTCCACTGTTTTGTCAGTCTATGAACAGACAGCTTGATGGACAAGGGCAAAACTTTATCCCATCCCTAATTAGTAAGGACATTATCAAAATTGAAATCATCAAAGATGATTTATATGCACATATAACTAAAATATCACATTCATTCAATCTTTTGAATGTCAGCTGTAATAAGAATACTTGAAGTATTGCTGTAATAAGAATAATTGAAGTATTAACAAGTTCTAAAGTTCTAGCTTGGAATTAATCCTCAATTAACAATAAAACATTTTAAATATAAAAGGTTTCCATTACAAACTGTTTTAGATACAAACCTTCTTATAGGGCTACTATCAGATCCAGTAACCACCCTGGTTATTTCCCCTGAGCCTCGTTCTGGTGAACTATGTGAACTGTGACCAGTAACATTTTCATCATTATAATCAAAGGAAAACTGACTAGTTGTATGCTTCTCATCTTTTGAACTGGCTTGTACCTGCATAATTAAATGAACAAGAAAATGATATTCAATCAAATCACAGGAAACTGATAGGGTTTGGTACTTGTATTATTCTGAAAAACTTGTAAGTACTCAGACTAAAGCTTTGTGTAAAGGGGAGCGGTGGCCTAGTGGTTAAGGTGTCTGCATCTCAACCCAGGAATCATGGGTTTGAGCCCTAATCAGGTCACATACATGTTTCCTTATATGACTGACACCAGTACTGGTTACAGGAAGAGGACTCAAAAAACTTGTTTTGCAATCAAATAAATATGTTTAAACCAAAACTTTGTGTTATAAGAAATCCAAGGTCTTGAGTGTATAAATTTAAATATAATTGCTTTAAATGGTTGACAACACATCTAAGTACATCCAGTAGATGACAGATTGAGTTTAACCTTTTACCTGATATAGACGAGTTTTGACTTCTTTTTGCCCACTCCCCCACTCCCTTGAGGCCTCAAACAGCAAAAAAAATGCCCTATTTAGGCCCCAAACACTGTTTTTTGTTTGAGAAATGTTGTTTAAAAAAGTGATCAATTTTTCGGCGCCGGTCCCCATCAAAATGATACATCAAGGGTTGCCACAAGGGGGATGTGCCCCTTCTGTTTGGGGGGTTTGAAGGGCGCGGTAGTCTCAACCAAGAAAATTTTGGGCATGTAACAGGCTAAAAATGGCCTCAGGTCGATTGTAAGGTAACGTGAAACGCTGAAAAGCGTTTTAGTCTATCTCAATGCAGCACTTTGAAATCAGTTTTGATTGGAAAAAAACAATGCAAAATAGTGATTTTAAGAAAGTTGAATAGTACAGCATTGGCCCTAAAAGTCACAGACACTTGGGGTGTAGAGCTTAAAACGCCTTTAAAATCCAAATAAAATGTATATTTGTCAATCCCAGCACATGTACTGATCATATATATCAAAAAACTTAATATAAGCCGTTTTGAAAAAATTTCATATTTCAACGTCTAGAATAATATGTGTAATACACCCCAAGTGTCTGTGCTAAAAGTCACTGTTACATTACTTGATATTTCCTGAAAAATTAATAAAATATTTAAACCAGTGACAGAAATGGTTTCCCAACCCCCATTCACCTTAAATTTCACCTAATTCTTCAGTAAATGTTTATAACAGCTACCTACATATCTGAGATATTAATCAATAAATAAAGGTGCAATGAGAAACAAAAAGGGTGACTTCAGCATAAACTAGTGAATATTTGCACCCTGGAAAATTTTCAAGAAGAATATAAAATTTTCTTATCTGTAAATAAAGCAATATAAATATGAAGTGCTTTATTTTTATGTTTCTAAAACCGTTATAACACAGATAACGTTTCATAAAATTCAAAATGATGTTTTATTTAATGACCACTTGTGAAGATTAGCCATAAATTTCAAATAATGTAATGACAAATTTATTACACATTGAGTCATAATTTTAAGACTCCTCCCATAAAAAAAATCTCATTACTTCAATAAAATCGTCTTTGATTATTTGAACAGTTCTTTTCTTTCTATTTACATAAATTACATATGTTATATGATGACAGGAAATATTTTAATCAAACTATGGTTTACAAAAGGTTGATTTTACCAATGTGTCTGCCAGTGATGTACAGATACCCATCATGGGTCTTTCTGTACAAAAGACAGCCAATAAACTACCTTATTACATGCCTTTCAGTGGACAGGGAAATTATACTGTGATAAATTCACAGTGAAATTATTTCACAGTGAAATTATAAAATACATTTTTCACAGTAGCCAAACTTAATCTAAATGTGGAAAATTGAAAAAAAATTATTTAATATCTTAAACAAGTGGAAATATCATAAGAAATACATGCTGTCATGAGTAAAACATGCTTTATTACAAGGAGCATCTTAAAATCTGCTACACAAATCATTTTATAAAATGTAACAAACTTCGTCAACTTTTACAGAATTGTTTTTCAACAAGAACAATGTAACTTCATGAGTGAGAGCACATGTTGTTATGCGTGAAAAAATCAGTAAACTGACTCAAAATCCTAAAAAAGCATAAAATAAATAGAATATTTGTTTCTTTTATATGTAAGATCAAAATATATTTCACTCTTGAACACCAGCTCTTCTACTTTCACACATGGTTATGCCACTCCTGAAAATATTACATCAGGTGTTCACTCTGTGAAATATATTTCGATCTTATATGCAAAACAAACCAATGCCCTCTATATAAAACATGCAAGCATGACTTATGTACTTAGCCAGAGATCTGCCGAGAATTTGAAAGTACTGGGCCCTGGGCCCACTTGGTCTGAAAATGATGGGCCATTTTGACCAAAGTACGGGCCTTGGGAAAATAAGTAAAAATTGACCTAAATGACTGTTAAAATTTTTGTAGATAATTGAATTTCCTTTGTAATGGAACTTAAATCATATTTTATGACAAGTGGTTCACATATTATTCAGTATTTAACAGAAAAGATAACCAATAATTTTAAAAAATGCCTAGAAAGTAACTTTCTAACTAATATTAATTGCAGGCAAAACATTTTTTCAAATGGCTGATCAAAAATCTGATTTGCATAATTTATCCACATAATTTCGAATGTCTAATACTCTGCATTATCCATTTAATTGTTCTTACTTTTGCACCAAATGTCCCTGTCACAATGTATATTGACGGATTTTATTACTCCTTGTATGCCTCTGTGTAGAAAGCATACATCAAAGACACTTGCCGACAGACTTTTTGATCATGGAAACAGTCATGCACAATGTTTCCCTGATTGGTTAATTGCCCTGTCAAATATTCTGATGACGAAAGAGACATATTTTTTTTACACTTCATCAGCCAAAGTGTGTAAGAAACTTGAGTGACCTAAGGGGAATTCAAGATGTACACCTGTCACTTACAGCTTTTCTAAAAATAGCAACACTTTTTTTTTCAGTTACTGATAATCATTTTTAATATTAAGTAGTTGTATAATTTTTTTGTTTGTTTGTTTTATTGGATTTAATTCACGGTAGGAGAAATGAGTATCTGATTATGAAAAGAAATGCGATAAGTAAATAAAGTGAACAAAAGCTATAGGTGAATGGATAAACTCAAGAATATGCGTAATTACAGGGGAATGGGTAACTGTTGCTGTTGGTACCAGTTTTGACTGGATGACTAAATAACCCAGCGGACAGTTTTGTTTTCATATAAGTCTGGCACAGATTTTAGATGCGCCCTTGGCTCTTTGCTGCCGATTTTCCTGCGCCATTCACATTTTTTTAGCGCCAATGGCGCAAAATCGCGTCCTCGGCAGATCTCTGACTTAGCCCAAAATAGAATTGAACAAATTGAACAGAAACATTTGAAATGTACCGTAGCTAAATTTGGTGATTGCCAGGATACCCTAGTTCCTAGACTTCTGCTGGTTTCTCGGTCTCTCTCATCATAATCATACTGCTCCAGTGGTATAGGACTAGCTCGTCCATGGTGTGGAGGTCTCGAATCTCCTGCCCTGATACCAGGGCCGAGGTTTCTTGACATCTGACCTGCATTTAAATATTGGATTATTGTAATTTATTAGTTTATACAAATTTATTTTAGTTGGATTGTTTTGGATGCTATAAACGTATTGAAACACTCTCGAATCCGTTCCTGGAACCAACCAGTACTAAGCAATGAATGTAGTTTCTTCCTCAAGGAAACAATGGCTTGCCCCTGGCAGGGTTTGAACCAGTGTGGTCAGCAATCCTAAGGTTACTAGTCCGACATATTAACCACTCGACCACGCCGCCATATTTATTACAATTCAGAAAAAAAAAATTCAAGAGGTAACTTACCTACAGTTAACAACAACTACTGATGAATTTATTCTCTCATGCAATTGTTTTTATTATTTTTCAATGTTTAGTGTAGTTAAATGGATAAACTGCCTCCCACTTACTACTTTCGTCTTACGAAAATGTCTTTTAAGTGCAAGTGCAATTTTCAAAATTCACTAGCATTTTGCAAGTACAGAAGTTGAAATTCAAAACTCTGAAAAAGCCACTGATTTTCTTGATTACAATAGCCCAAGTTGTAACTTACCACTAGTTTTATTGATGGTTGTTGGTGAATGTACTGGAGATGGTAAATTGCTGGGTATAGCTTCTAAATTATCAAGGGTTCTTTCGGATGCAACACTTTCTTCTCTTTGGTAGGAAACATGGCTACTCATTCTCCACACATCTGAAATCATACATTTATGTTGTGATTCTTTTAACTCAGTAAAACAGACAAAAGTATCCAAATATACTTATAACAGCAACTTCTTATTTCTTAACTTTCTGGCAAAATGGAACAAAAAACTGATTTTCCCTGGTGATATTCAAGGAAATCATCAAAACTTCTCAGAGATATATCAATGCCAATGTAGAGCTAAATTTGGGCCTTATTCCCACATGAAAAAAGTATATATTTTTCCCCAATTACAGAACAATTTTCCCATTTAAAATCTTACAGTATAAAGAAAATCTGTTTGGGTAATTGTCATCCTGGGTATTACAAATATGCACCTGGGTATCTTTTGGTATACTAGACAGTACCCACCAGGGCCGGCAAAATCTGATTTTATATATTGGTTTGTTATAACATAAAGTATTTCTTAACTTGTCCGTATGATATTTATATAGTAAATTCTTGAAAATTTCCACTTGTCCAGAGAGGCTGTGGGACAACCTGGGCAATACTGACAATTGATTTTGCCACCCCTGCCCATCCATGTAAAAGGTTCTCATTGTAGCCTAAAAATACTGAACAGCACATGAGAATTAAAATGCCATAATGTGGCTCATGATTACTGTGAAAAAATGACTGGGTTTTTCCATTGGAACTGCATTCCTTTTCACCTCCCTTTCCATTGTTGCTTGAGCATAAGTCCTAAGGCCATACAAATAAGAATACAAGTCAGTCTGCTTGACTTTAGACATAATTTTGTTGTTGTTGTTATGGTTAAGCTGGTTTATCTTCTTTCTGTTTTATGATATCATAAAAAATATGCATGATGTGCAAATTAGTGTATTAAAGCTAGAATTTTTAAGAAATTGTTTATATTTGTTGAAAATATGTTGCTATTCATATGTGATCAAACTAAAAAACCAACCAACCTATTCTAGGAGGGAGGAAGGGGGCTTCACTCATATTTATGAGAATCCCCCCCCCCCCATTTTTTCTGAGGCAAGGGGAAAAATTTACATAGAGAAAGAAAGAAAAAGATCAACAAATGTAATAAATTTTCACCTTTACATGAAAATCACCCCTGTTTTTTCAAATCCTAAAATAGACTATATGAAAGGTTACCCAAAAACATTTCCGGGTACCATGAAGCAGTTTTGAGGGGCAGCAAGAGATACCCAAATACACCAAAATATTACCCAAACATACTAATAATAAATGTTTTATACTCAAAAAGTACTGTTTTAATTATGAATACAACATACACTAACACTAAGATATAGTCAAACATACCCAAATATACATTTTCTTATCATTGTGTTTTGAACCAAAGTATACCCAAATACAGTATACAGACTTCCCGAAATACGTCGGTCCGACGGACATGTCCGATAAATTTTGATCAGGTCCGACAATTTTTTATTCCGGATCGGTCCGACTGTCCGGCTTTTATCCAAGCCGCATGTATACAAAATGGCGTCGCTAAAGGTGCCAAACCTGGGAAAAAACGAAAATCTACGTCAGAAGAGTGCGCAGAACAGCAATAAAAGGATGAAAAGAATAGACCTGAGACAAAATTTCATGAAAAATGGAAGCAGAACCATGAATTATTGGTGTATGACGGGGAGAAGATGAAAATGCGCTGTACGGATAGTGCCGATTTTTACGGCGAAAAAATAAAAGACGAAAAGTGTCTTAGAAATACAAACACAAGTTTTTCTTTGATTTTGATCAATTTTATTTGGTCCGACAGATTTTGTTTCGGTCCGACAGATTTTCATGGTTTGTCAGACCGAATGTCTGACAGTTTTTTTCAACTTTCGGGAAGTCTGCAGTATACTCCATTAAAGCCATTAAAATATTATAAAGAAAACAATACGATGGACACTTGTATATGATATGAAATTTCAACAAAATTATACCCAAAAAATTTAAATGTAGACAATAAATATTATCATATCTTTATCTTAAATTACAAGTACATTGTAGATCTATATTATTCATTAATGAACAAATAAGCAAATGTCACAAGTTTATTTTCTTATAACATATGAACTGCCTATTTCAACTATAGCCGACTGATCGGTCATATCATTTTATAAATATTAACACATTTTCTCTTATAATCTATATTTTATACAAACAAAAATGAATATTGCTATATTTGGGTATATTTGGGTATATTTGGATATTTCTTGCTGCCAGTTTTGAAAGTGTCAGGGTATATCAAGTATACATCAAAGTACACTGACTGGGTGCCTACAAGTCCTGGTCGCCTCTGTGGTTGAGGGGTTAGAGTCGATGACTTCTAATCCAGTTACTCCTCTGGTGTGGGTTCGATCCCCGGGAGATGCTATGGTAGTTTAGCACCGAGGAAGGTAGTCTAGTACTGGTGTAACTCTCCAAGAACGATGGTTAGGAAACTACCTGCCTATATGACTGAAATACTGTTGGGAAAAGGCGTAAAATGAAACAAACAAACAAAAAAAGCCTACAAGTCCTGGTCAGGGTGCACATTTTTCTCACCTTAATTGTGACATTTGACACCCAATGGCAGACCTGACTGCATATAGCTCAGAGTTTAATTCACATTGCTCTGTGACCCTGTGAAAATTCCAGGAACAATTTCAAATTATATAGGGGAGTATGTCATGGTTCAGAAATGTTCACTATTGATGGGAGATGTGCAAGTGACTGGATAGCTCAGTCAATAGAGCTGCAGATAAGAATGTCACAGGTCCTGGGTTTGAGTCACGGTCAGGCTACACATTTTTCTCACTCTCAGAGTACATGTTAATTGAAGCAAATGAAAGACTTGAATTTGTCTCAGAGAGACTTTGTGTGACAAATTCAAGTCTTTCATTCGCTTCAATCAACATGTTAAAACTGGAAAAGAGTCAACTCGGCCCTATACCAACTCGGCACGGGTCAACTCGGCACGGGTCAACTCGGCACGGGTCAACTCGGCCCACTTTACAAAAATATATATAACGTATTAACTTTGCTTTGCATGTTGTTAAGGTAAATGAATAATAAGAAATATCTTATTATTATATAATAATACATGTACTTCTTCTGAAATAAAGTATATTTAGAAAAAAATGTTATTTATCTGTCTTGCAGATTCGATAAAATTAATATAGATCTAGATTCTAATAAAATGTGTTTGTAAAGTAATATTTAAAAAGAAATGAAACAAAAACGTGTTTACTTAATATCATAAGCTTCTAATTAAATCTTACGTATAAGCGCATTGATTGTTGCCGAAATTCATTTGCACGTGTAATACGTTTTTTTTTTCTATCAAATAGAAAGACCTTGTCTGTGCATTATCTAGTTAAAGTAATAAAGAACAGAACAGAAGTTAAATATGTAGAAATACAGTGAGATACACAATCGTTTATCTTTACTCGCAATTCTACTGATAAGAAAAGCTTGTCTGCTGCTAGTTCGAAACCGTGTATTATAAATAATTACAATAATTACAATAAATAGTGTTAACACAAACCTAAATATTAATTATTGAAAAGAGGGCCGAGTTGACCCGTGCCGAGTTGGAATAGGGCCGAGCTGACACGGGGGCCGAGTACGTTTTAGGGCCGAGCTGACCCGGATTCGTTAAAACTTTTAAAAGTGATAGTTTTGAATTTATACGGGGAAGTCAAAGACCGGGCCCGCGAAGCGGGTCCGGGCTTTGGCTTGCCCGGCTATAGACTACACGTGTATATTTAAAAGAAAATCAAATAAAAAACATTTAAAAAATATATAGAATTCTATACCTATCAATGAAATTTTCAGTGTCAGTTCTAGTCGGACGCCGCCATTTACAATGTAACTCAATGATAAAAGGCGGGTTATTCCGATAACGGAACAAATCTCAACTTTTCGGATAAATAATAAATGTCGAGTGTTCCGAGTGAAAACGGAAGCGGTGCATGTAATAGCGAGCTCGACGAGCTGGCCCGAAGGGCCTGCTCGCAAAGCGAGCTTTACGGTAACGCGAGTACCTGTTAAGTGATGGTTTTGAAAACTTTCGTCCAAAGTACCGAATTGGACACATCGCAACCTTTCGAAATCAAAGATAACGATAAAAACTGAGGAATTCTGGCTGAAAACGGATGTGCATGTAGACTGGTCACCCGCGCACGTCTATGGGAACCATAATTGGACAGGGAACCAGAATAACGGAAGCTGTGTATAAAAAATGAAAATCGAAGGCGCCATTTTGTTTGAAATCTGATAAATAAAAACAATTTTTTTGTCGAATTTTGTTGTGAAAACTATCTAGAATGAAAGAAAATGGTCTAACTAAGAAAATGAATTCGAACACCAATATCTTTTATTCAGTTGTTAACGCTGTACAGACGTTTAAAGTATTGTCTACGTGATGTCACAATGTAGCGCCAAACAACGCGTGCAAAACAAACAAATCAAGTACGCTATTTTAATGTCGCAAACGTTTTAAGTTTTACATTTATTTCACTTTAAATAATCTTTATTTCGCTTGAAAAATTATAGAGTGAAATAAAATAAACATAGTTTTATAAACGTTTTCAAAACTCGTTATTCATTTCACGACAGGGGCGGAGCCATATTTAACACAGTACGTGTGACGTCACACGCACTCGTCACTGCATTTGAAATAAAAATGAGCGATTATTTCATACTATTTCACGTAAAAAGTACATCGAGCTCGCTTTGAGGCTTTGCCTTTTTCATATTACCGAATGACAATTTTAAAACGGAAAGAATGAAAGGAATTTTTTAACGACTTCCCCGTTCATAGGCTTTGCCTAATTTCATATTATCATCAAACAAAGGTATCCAACAAAAATAAATAATTATTCAGAAATCTGCAAGTCCATCAATTGCTTAAATGCGAAAGAAACAATAAAATAAGTGTTGTTTACCGTTGTTTGATGTTCGTATCCAATTATGCTAACCGCTTGTGCTGCTGAAAAAAATATTTGCATTAACTCCCTTGCATAAAATAAGAAACTGCTTCAGAAACCTAAAACTGGTAGTCAGTAAAAAGAAATGTGCCTCAACTTCATGTAACCTAATGTTTAGTCAGTCCAATTTAAAGATGATTTTTCCCTTGTTTTCAAAAAAAAGACATGAAAAAGCAAATATTGGTTAGAAAAGAAATAAGTATAACTTCACACAGATATGTGTCATAAATTATAATATAAACTTTAGTAAAGTAAGGGAAAAGTTGATCAGCTAATTTATATTATTGGTGCATAAAAAGAGTTAAAACTTCACATTGAGGAACACTCATCCACAAAGTAAAGTCAGTGAATAATAATTACCAATGAAAATATGTTTAAATGTTGTTATGTTGGTGTTAATTAAGTCTATATATTTTTGTGTACAGTTATGGCCCATCACCTCTTTCATATGTTAATTTTAATATGCAACAAAGTCACAACTTTTCATATAACTCAAATTATATCACATAATTCAGCTGATGCTTGGAGATTAAGGATTGCATCAACATCTTGTAGTTCCAATTGTAATATTAAAGCAGCATGCCTCCAGATTAAGGCTAATTTTCATAATAAATTTGAAATTGTATTTGAATCTGAATATTGTGAAGTAACCAAAAGGAAGCAATTTACATATTATTAATAGCAATTAATAACCACATAAATTACCAAAAAGTGGTCAAAATATGCATGAATAGCCTTTACTGTAACACAGTAGAAATATAGTTGTAAATACTGAAAATCAGTCATTAATTACACATAATATGTAAAATATTACTTGAATCTTGAAAGGTTTTACTTTTCGTTACATCTTAGTACATTTTTCTCAAGTTTGATTTTATTGAAAAATTTTGACTCATCTGGAGGCATGTAGCTTTTTAGGTTTTTAAGTGGTGATGGTGCCACTTTCATTATTCATAAATTAAATAAAATTAAGTTTTTAACATATCATTTTGCTTAGTTCAACATACTCTAAATAGCCAAAAAACTGAGGTAATGTTTCTAATTTCTGTACCAGTTAATCATTAATGTAAGTTATTATAGAAAACCTATCAAATTAACTGGCTGTCATATTCCATTAAATGGTCAAACTTTAATAAAATATACCATTTGTTTATTCTTTACACCCAGGATAAAAAAATGATCCTGTGTATAAAGTATATATGAATTGTATATTTATCATAAAAAATACAATTCATACATGTATATACTTTACACCCAGGATAAAATATACCATTTGTTTTTCCTGTCAGAATTTAAAGGAAGAAGCTTTCTTTCCCCAGCCTGGGTGGTTTTTATTTGTTTCGGTCGTCAGACCAAACAAATAATGGTAGCGAAATTTCAGTCTCAGCCTAATGCTGTTAATTGCAAATGCCTAAAGTAGTCCACTTTTTTGAAGCGGTTACTTCCCTTTATATGTACACTAACGCCGAAAAATTCAGGGGAGATCAATGCGTAAAGATTGTCAAATTACAGGCGCATTAATTTTCAAGCAAAGTAGTTCCCGAATGGTCGAAGATTTCTAATATTGTTTCATTCTTTATAGATATACATGCTTACAGTAAGCTCCATGATTATTTACATCTGTGTTTAGCGTCGAAATAATAAGAGTTACAAACCCTAATTTAGAATAATATGGTTTTCTTCATTAACTTATAATTTCACCGTGGCCGAGGGGTTTGCACGCTCGCTTATGAATCGAGAGGTCTCGAGTTCAAATCCCAGTTGAGGCAACTCATTTTTTTAAAAAAAATTTAAGTCAAATAAACATTGAATTGACTATCAGTGTTGCAATTAGTCTTATAGCCAACTTACTACAGTTAAAACACTGGAAAGCATTGGTGGCACTATGTTCTCAATATAGCCTCTAGATAGTCACGAAATACCAGGATATCACTTCCTCTTCAAAAAATTTTCTCGGGGGAGCATGCCCCCGAACCCCCCTATTTAAGGAGTGCATATCAAAATAGCTCAGTTATGCCCCTGCTAAGTGAACGATTTTTATTGTTTTCTACAGTGAATTTGGAAAAAAGTTACCAGCTTAAATGCATGTCCCTCATATATTGAACAGATATGTTACCACACTTAAGGTAAACCTGAGTAAGAGTAATATGAACTTGTAACATAAGTTAAATGTAGATAAGCATATACATGTAGGCTTACTCATATCACCAAGTATGACACAATCAAGGATCGAGATTTTACCAGTATATAAAGACAATTGAACAGCAGATGAACCAAAAAGACAAACGAAATACAGAATGTCAATTCACACTATGAAACACGCACATTAATCTAGCTGTTACATATTCTAATAGATTGGTGTCTTTATTTAAATGTTCTTGTTAAAGTCACAATGTTATTTGACTATTTGAAGCTACAGTCAGAAAACAATAAAACCTAAAAAACTGGAAAAGATTTTGTGTGTTCTATTTAATATTAAAAGTACTGGTTCAGACATATTATTTATTGGTCAGTTGTTTAAAAAAACTTTATGAATATCTATCTACGTGTTCAGTGTTTTTCATAATTTTGTTCATAGTAGAACGGTGAAAGAGATACGTTACTATGATTTAATATTCCTTTCCACTTAGCGGAATAAATTCATACTGTCAAGTAAATCCAAGCAACATTGTGTCAATAGATAAGTATGGAACATCAGTATTTTTATTGACCTAAAATGCTTTTATAAGTAAATCAATATTTGGAATAAAAAAGTCTGATTAATAAGTAACATTTTCATCAGCTTCAGTTCGACGTGGATTCTTTTTTAAAATGGATATTGATGCATAATATTTTGTAATTTATACTGGTGCTATATTGTTGAAAGAATGATAATAAATTTCTAAATTGTGTATATTCATGCTAAGTACTTTTATCTAGTCTCTGAAAGCAATTGGAAAAATGGTAACGTATCTGTTTTTTGCACAAATCTCGAATTCTTGGTGTCTCTCTCCTATTAACTAATATTAATTAACAATGTATATTTAGCATTTGATTACCATACACATACATATATTTGTACAACTACATAAAGTACAACATGTTATTTATATCTGAACATTTATATCTGAACATGTCTTTAAAATATCAAAAGATTTAGGTAGATTTAAGCTTAAATAAACAATTTCTAATTAAGTTTTTTTTAAAGTAAAAGAAGATTTAAAACTAAACATATTAAACTTATTATTTTTCATGGAGGAGGCTGCATACTGTAGGGAGTAAAACGACTATAAATTACCTAGTTTATTGAGATATATAGAAAATAATAAGATTATTAACATATGAGCCGCGTCATGACAAAACCAACATAGAGTGTTTGCAACCAGCATGGATCCAGACAAGCCTGGGCATCTGTTCAGTCTGATCAGGATCCATGCTGTTCGCTTACAAACCCTATAACAAGTAGAGATACTGATAGCGAACAGCATGGATCCTGATCGGACTGCGCGGATGCGCAGGCTTGTCTGAATCCATGCTGGTCGCAAACACTCTATGTTGGTTTTGTCATGACGCGGCTCAAATATTTAAGGTTTAAAGTATGGTCTGGCACCTAGGTAAACAAATAATTTATATCAGGTTTCAACATTTATCATATTATGTTTAATTTCTCGTCTGACATGTTATTAGTGTTATTTAAGGAGTGAATAATCATTAAATAAAGTAGTTTAAGGACATTTTCTAGAATTTATTAACATTGTAGACCTATCACAGCACTTTTCATATGATTATATTTACACAAACTAAGTTTAAAACATATCATAGTGTCATATAAGTGATATATGTATTTGTTATAAAGGGGAGAGCAGATAACTCCTGCTATTTAGTGGTATTTTCATTTATTGCCATTTGGCTATAAAAGTTTCTTTTTTTCCTATATTATCAAAGAATCTTATGTTGTAATTGGTTAGATTAACTCTTTTAAACTCTCAATAAGTTGTATTCAATTATATTGGATATATCTTGTGTGTATAGAACTACTTATTAAGTTAATTTAATTTGCATGCTGAAAAATCAGTGTGAGGTCCATTTTCACAGTTCTCTCCCTTGGACTGTAAATGGCCATTATAATTGATTATGTCATAACATATTTAGTTTCCGATGGAATTTGATGAGGTTTTCTTCTCCAAGTCAATTAAATATTGTTGTTAATAGATATTATTATATCAAATTAATAAACTATAGACCTTTTCTTGTAGGAGAAGTTAAATTAGGGTAAAATTACCTCATTTATTGTTGGATTGACTTCTTAATCTTGAAATTGTTAGGCTATATAGGATAATCATTGTAACTTTTATATAAGTTCATAGAATTTCATAGGGATTTTTTGGTTGGTTTGGACCCTTAAAGATGTTTGTTAATAATTATCATACAATTGTATGGATTTTTATAACTGTTTTGGTTATTTTTGGGATTTATATAGCCTAATCTTTTTAAATTAGGGTTATTTCACTAAATATTTTCTATTTTTAGGAGAATCTTAATGAATTTGGTTATTTAAGTAAAAACATGATTCTTATTGATTTAATTTATAGGGAATATCCATAGATTAATTTGGCTCTTCTATAGTTTAGGTTATTAGGTGATATTTAATGCAAAAAAACTAATCTGGTATGGACTTTACTAGAGATACAACTTACAATTTATATGAAATAAACAGTGTCAAAAAGTAAAAAAAGGACTAAAGTAAACAAACGGGGTCCCCATTAACACCTGTTTTAAGTGATAGATAGATATATGATGGTGAAACATTGCAATAAATAGAGTTTTGATGATATCTTCAGTTTAATGTCAGAAGGGAATAGGAAATGCATGTTACTTTAAAGACCTGTCATGACTTTTAATACTATAGGTACTACTGGGATCTTTACCAAAATTATATCTAAATAAACAATTTAAGAGCTTAAATGGCACTACTATTGCAAATGAAATTAAAGGTTATAAAATGTAAAACAATGTTGTATTTTCCCTTGTATTCCCGAA